AGAAAAGAGTTCGCCGATCGAAATATCAAAATACGCAGAATTTATTGATATTGACGATAAAAATAAAGCAGTTTTAGTCGTAAAACTGCTTTATAATCTTGAAACGTTCCAAGATGCCAAAGATTTAATCAATTCTCTGGAAAAACAATCAAAAAATTATGAATCTGCATTACAAAATAAACCAGAAATTTGGTTGGAAAAATACTTGCCTGAATTAATGAAGGAAGTAAAAGATGCGAGAGCTGCTAGAATGAGATTGAAGATAATAAAGAAGTAGAGATGATGAGTGAATAAAAACTTTGTATTAAATTTGTATATAAAAGAATTGTAAAATATAAAAATAAAGAAGTGGTTGATAGGAATTTGAAAATTCGTTGGGTGCATATAAGTTTGATAAATATATTTATGAATATTAATGTCAAATTGGGTGGTTGCATATAGTAATGAAAAATATATTAATAAAAATTAATGTCAAATTGGTTGGTTGCATATAGTAATGAAAATAAGATTAATAAAAATTAATGTCAAATTGGGTGGATTCGTGATAGAATGCTTCTGTGTATGTGTGGCGTGAGTTAGCATCGGGTGGTTGCGTGATAGAATGCTTCTGTGTATGTGTGGCGTGAGTTAGCATCGGGTGGTTGCGTGATAGAATGCTTCTGTGTATGTGTGGCGTGAGTTAGCATCGGGTGGTTGCGTGATAGAATGCTTCTGTGTATGTGTGGCGTGAGTTAGCATCGGGTGGTTGCGTGATAGAATGCTTCTGTGTATGTGTGGCGTGAGTTAGCATCGGGTGGTTGCGTGATAGAATGCTTCTGTGTATGTGTGGCGTGAGTTAGCATCGGGTGGTTTCATCACAAATTTTAACCCATCCAAATCTTATTAATTATTAAAATTCTTTTACAATTTCTGATGTATTTTTTGAAAACATTTCATATGCAATATTTCTCCTTTTCTTTCCTCAAATCTTCAAATATTAATAACTTTGGATATGAAATTATTTGGATCTTTTATGAATTTTAAATGTCTTTCTTAATATCAAATCGATTAAATTATTAATATTTTCTAAATTATGCCTTAAAAATCCAAATATAAAAAATCGTAAATAAAAAATATATTTTTTATTTTTATTTTGTAAATAATCCGTTTACTAAATGGGACTGTATCATGAAAGTAACAAAAATCATTATTTAACAAGATTCAAAACTGGTGCAACGAAATGCACATTGATTTTGTAGTGTAACAAAGAGAGATTTATTGTAAAAAGTACAAAATAGTATATTTATTATCGTGATTAGCGTAGAAATGTAGTTTGGGACGGATTTCTGGTGCATTCATAACTAAAGTGATACATTGTCTGGAGCAAGTTCAGATCTTTAACTTATGGCTTGTTTGGTGCTAACTCACCCAATTTAAGTGCACTAGAGGGGATTTTGTCTGTAATGAGCATGCACCTTGAGTTGTTGCTTGGTCCGTGTACGAAAGATAGTAATTTAATACTATACTCGATTAAATGTGAATTTCTAATTTTGAATTTGCGTTTTTTCCTGAAAATAGTTACAATATATGAAAGAGTTGGCAAAACTAGAGGACACGTCTTTAAGGGTTTGGCTCGTGCTTCATGTTAATATGCCGAAACTAAAATAAACGTATATTGGGGGTCGAAAATTGAGAGCTCATATCTTTCAGCGTGATAGGTTGAAATTTAAATTATTTATCAAAATTAAAATTTAACTTGAAATTTATAATTATTTAGTCATATTTTGCATAATTCTAAGTAGATTTTGTAAAAAATCAAGAAAGAAAAATTTTAACGTGCTTTATTTATTCTTTTTTATAATAATACATATTATTATATAATTAACATATTCATAATGTTTCACCCTTTCAAAAATATAATCCTCCTCCTCTCAAATAAACGTACATACGGGTGGCCTCTTTTTTCAAAAAATTAAAATTTGAAATTTTGGGCTCAAATATTAGAGATTTTTTCAACCTTCAACGATATATGTTGTCTATATCAGACCTCCTTTCTTTTTGATACTTAACATTGTTCCTAAATCTTAGCCGTTAAGGCTGTTCTGAAAATATTTTTTTTTCGAAAAAATTCGAAAAAAATTCTTAAAATTCAAAAATCCCTTAATTCCTGAGGATTTTGGAAAAAAGTTTTTACATGAACATGTGTATATTATATGAAGTATATTGATAAGGTAAAAATCAAATTTTATTGCATATTCATCGAGAAAATAAACTAACGAATCCCTCAAAATTGAGAGGGTAATCCTCCTCCTCTCAAATAAACGTACATACGGGTGCACCCTTAACATTGTACGCCAACAAGAAAATAATCAATATCAAATACACAAAATCCCTAATCCGGACCTATTAAAAGAAATAAAAAGACAACAAAGAATCAATGACAGTCTTTCAAGTACAAAAAGCTCACTAGATGATATTGAAGACTACCTTAATACTCTTCATTGAATTTATAATATTTGGAATAAATATTTATTGTTTTCAATCTTTTTTATTTCTATCTACTATGGCTTAGCTATTCACAACAACAACAAATTTCTATATCAAATGGAGGTGGGGAAGGGTATGATATTCCATTGATCTATATATGATGCAGTTGAAATGAGACATGCCCAATATTTTGATAAAAAATCAATCTGACAGTGAAAACGGTTATTTTCCATCAAAAAGTTGATAAAACTGGGAGATTTGCCGGTATTCACTCTTTCATAGCAAATACTTTTTGACACACATATGACAACAGAGGTTAATGCACTTTAGAAGTAAGATTGTACATGAATGTTGTTATGCCTTTCATGGTGAGATTATTTTAATAATTTCACTAAAACTCATAAAATGCAATTACCAATAGTCTAAATCCCTAGGCACATACAGACTCCAAAATTGGACTATAGGACCATTTTTATCTCTTGATAGAAACTAAGTTTTGCTACTGTGATTAAAAAATGATTTTTCAAATTTCAAATTCGAAATAAAAATTTCAGTTTTACGAAGAAAGCCCAAATTGAGTTTAAAACGCCAATACCTTCTATCATTATATTATAGTTTTTCTGACTTTTATAAAGTCGATCGTTTTTTCCTATAAAAAAATCTGCCTCCTAGAATTTCGGTTTTTTCCCTCAAAACGATTGACTTTAATTTTTAAATATTTTCGCTCAATTAAACAATTTCCTTTCTAATGAATTACTCTTTTCATATGTCTTATTGAAAACTGTGTTACTTACTCAAATTGATTCGTGTTCAGGAGGTTCTCCAACCAAACCGCTTGTATCGTCAATCAGCTCACATTTTGTTCAAAGCCTATGCTTTTTTTCATCTCGAAAACAAAAAATTTCGAAAAAATACAACTTGGGTTCATTTAAACCCATTGTCCAAGTTAATCATTTGTGCGAAGTCTCGGGCTCGGATTCTAACTTTTTGGTCGGCATTAAATCTCATTGCGAATAAATTATACTGAAACATTAGTATTTGACCAGAAGATATTCACAATAATCGAGTGTGCATGAAAAGTTACTAAGCTTTGAGTTGTTTGGATAATGCTTTGGCATTATTATTTATGTAAATTTATATTTTCGAATAAACTAACAACAATATAAACACTTATTAAATATATTAAGCAAAACATATCAGTCTTCAATGTTTTTTTCGTAAACATTTATGAGATATACAAAAAGATATATTTATGTCATTTTTTCGTTTTTTGAAAAAAATTGGAGAATCCATACTGCATCATTCACATTATATTACATTTTTCTTAGTTATTGTTTACTTAAAATGGGTTATTATTCAAATTGTTCGCAATATTTTCACATTATTAGTTATGATTTGCTTTTAAACCTATATATTATTCTTTTTAGAAGTCATACTACTCAATACTATTAATGTTAGAAAGTATAACAACAGTGAATATGCGCATTGCATCTGCTATTAATATCGAAGCCAGCACATAGGTATTAATGAATTTTGAGTGTATAATATTTGAAATATGGCACTTAAATATATTAAAGAAGTTTCAATTAAAATATATAATCTATTTTTCCAAAGGCAAGCATCATGAGTTGAAATTTTAAGATGAAAGTCTATAGTAAATTATATTGGTGCAATATTATGGCAATTAGACTGGGATTAAAAATCAAATGTGATAAAAAATTGAAAAAACGAAAAAAGAAAATTAATACGGAGATATTCAGTATTTTATATATCTGATTCATTTACCAAAAATCAAAAAAAGTCACTTCACATGGCGCGGAGCTCCCACTAAAGGCCGGCTTCGAAATGCTGTAAAATTCACTTTTCCGAGGGAAATACTTCGTATCTGAAGGCTGGAGTAAGACAGATCTTATCTATGGCCAGAGAAGAAATCAAAATCTCACAAGTTGCTAAAAGTTGGATTTATTCGGAAAATGCGAGATAATTGCAAATTTCATGAAAAAGACCTCTTTTCACAAACTTGCTGGAAAAATAACTTATTCATATACGAGGTATTTTAAAGGTTAAGAGAAAGTTTAGATAAGTATGCTATTTATCCACTTGGGTACCCTCTAAGTTAGGGGAAATTGAGAGGATCAGTTCACTTGAGAGTACCCCCTTAATTAATATTGAAAACTCTCAATATTTATTAGCCCCTGCATGGAGCAATACGGAGATAGAATTGAATGCCTCGGGCAAAACGAGAACTGGAGATTTTGAGAAACCAGTTACTTTTTGGATTTAATTGAAATGTTATTTCGGAGGGTCATTTATGAAAATCTAGATCCCATACAGGTAAACATTGCGTTTGACGGATGCAACATCTATTTATAGCAATATACGTGTTACTCCAAAGGAGAACCTTCAGACAATCTTAATTCCTCAAGTTTGAGAATCTTTTACAGTCTATTTAGAGCAAAAGTGAGAAAATTCCCAAATTTAGTAAAAATCGGAATTATTTCATTTTTCGGAGTAAAAGTGACAAAAGAAATTTCATGAGTGCTGAACAACTTCAGGGTATCAAATACTGGACATCACTTGATGGTACAATCCTTACTATCGATAATGAAGAAATAGCCAATAAAGTTAAAGGCGAAAGAAAAATTCAATTAATAAAAGAATTTGATGTAAAGATTAACGTTAAAAAAACGCAAGTAATCATTCAGAATTGCTATGTAACAAAGAAGATGTGTGCTGTATTCGCGAAAATACTTGAATTGCCTTACGTATCCGAACAATTGTTTACCAAGTATAAAAATAACAGCGAAGAGATCAAAAACACTATTCAGCCTCAAGAGAACAAATTCAAATTACCTCAGATGGAAGTTGCTTCTCAAGAACCAGCTCAAACAGATGAAGTCGAACCAAAATGGGAGCAGACAGTACAAAATAAGAGAAGACAACAGCTTACACGCCCAGAAGTTATGCTTGAAGATAACTTTTTAGTTGTTCCTGGAAAAACATCCGTAATCAAAGAAGTCAAGCAAAATATCGCAGAAATACTTTGCCTTGATCCAGATATTAACTTCGAGAGAATATCATTCAAGACTGTTTAAAATTACTGTAATTTGTATATTGATAAGGTAAATATTATAATTTTTTTTGCAAATATTAATAAAACATACGTCCGTATAGATAAAAACACAAAGTAGTTCCTTTTTCTTATTATTTAAGATTTTTATTTAGATTTTCCTCTGAAATTGAAAAAAAAATATTGAACTGTTATATATGCACATACGAATTGTTTCCATGAATTAGGATATTGTCTGAGCAAACGAATCCCCAAATTTTGTCAGCTTATATGATATAACTTGAATTTTTTTTTCGCTAAGCTGTTGATTTTATTCATAATATTATGTAGCTGCTTTTTGAAATTTATCTGAACAAAATCTATGTAAACGATAGACGAAACCTAAATGTTTATTCCCTAAAACGTGACATAATTTTTAATGGATCAAGTTAATTATAAAGTTAGAAAATGGAAAGATTCCCGGCATATAGCTATCAAAAAAAAAATAAAAGAGATCAAAAAATATCTAATGGATTCAATAAAAGACGACATACCAAATTATTTGGAACTTTTCCAATTAAAATCTTTTCAAACATTTCACAACATTCCAGTTTTTATATCTCGAGATTTACGATCGCATATCAATGCTGTTGTATTAATAATTTTCGGTGATTATTATAAAGTGAAAGTATACGGTCATCTATTTATTCATCTTAAAGTCGAAAACGTAAATTCATTCAATGAAATTCTTGATATTTTTTTCAAGGCATCATAATCCAGGTTGTATTGACAATTATAATATAAAAATCATTGAAAAAAATCCTTATAAAACTCGATCATATGAATATGGTTTTCACATTGCAGGTATAACCTCTGAATTACCATATATACTTGAACATCTCGATCAAATTCGTGCCAATGATAGAATGTTTTACAGTTTCAATGAAGTAAATTTACAATATGAATGTTATAATGCATACTCTCTTTTATCAACTGATCCAAATAATAAAAATAACGAAACACTTCGCACGTATAAAATTAAATCAGAATTAGCAAATCCACCTTATGGAATGATGTTTTTAAACGCTTGGAATTCTATAACTTCATTCTTCAGATCTAATATTGACCGGCCTCTCCCAATACAAGATCAATCTCTTGAAATTGGACAGACTATCCCTAAAAAGGAAATACCTCTTGAGTCAGAACAACCTCAATCAAAAAAAGTAAATCCAAAACAAGGCAAATATATAAAAATAGAACAAGATGCTCAGCCACATGAACCATTTTTAATATGTTGAAAAAAAAGACAAATAAAAGAATTCTTCACATGTATAAATGACGTGCATCTATAATTTAGGAAAAGATAATGTTGTTTTTTTACATTCTGCCTGAATAAAATTTATTATCAAAAAGGTAACTAAACTCCTTTCGTCGATCCGATTTGCCCCATATTTAAAATATAGCTTGCATATGTAGAAGAAAAGCTAATTTTGAAGTACGCCCGAAATCCACCAACAGGATTTCGAGCTACTAAAAAGGTACTTTTAAATGTGATTTTTTTTATAAAAAATTAAATTTATTTTAAGATCAGACTAAAAACTAATTTTATGGAAAATCTATATCGACAAATTTATTACTTATTGGGTATATAGATTTTTTGATTATGGCGATTATGTCTGATATGCTTCCAATAAGCCAAAACACATTTCATACTGATTTCTATAAAAGGTATCTTTATTATAGAAGTGTAAGCTATATCTGTTTGTTTTTTTATTATAACAAATTCAAAATTCTCTTATAAGGACTAGATGAAATCTGTATTACTAAATCATTAGCTAAATGAAGGTTCAAATAGAAAGTAAATATCAATTTATATGATACTGAAACCAAATAGTTCTTTTAATAAAAGATAACACGCTGAAAATTATTGAGTATTTGCAAATCTCAAAAATCTATTGGTGAATTTGGCTCAACTTTTAAAATTATAAATCCATATCAAATCATAAAAGCAGACAAAAATTAAAGCCAAACCTATCGGCCAATTTTTTTTTGATATTTTGATTTTTGAGGTATACTTTTAAAAGTGGATTTAAAGCACTGATGAAAAAACATTAACTTCTGTCGTTATGATTATTGATTTAGACAATAATGATTTTAATCTTTGATTATCAAAACACTAAAGTCATCTTTTTAACATTTGCTTGGTAGCATTAACTCAAGTCTAAAGTACTATTTTATGTGGCACTCTTAGAATTTTTGTATTCATTGTACACGCTGAAATAGTACCATTAAAGTTATGGCGGACTTTCAAAAAATAGTTTGGTCACCTTTATTATCAATAAAATTAAAAACTCACTCATCGCTTATATGATTCTAATGGAAGTTTCAGATAGACCTGAATATCTTTGACACTTAACATATCCTTTTTTTATGAAATCAGACAGTAACAAATTGAATAAGCGCAAATGATAAGGGGAGGTGAAAAAATGTTGTGATATTATATGAATGTATTTAAATAAACAAATCTAATATATAAATTAACACTTCTATGAGTTAATTGAATGCTTCATATCAGAAAAAGTTTGATTGCTTGTGATAAGATAAGAGAAATTGATCGTCATATCTTGGTTTTTCATTTCTGAAAGAAAATATAATAATAATTAATTTAGAAAATATACTGTTAAATGAAAAAAAGTAATTTATTTGCTTTTACCTTTTTATGGAAATACTTCCTAACTTGAGTGGAAATTGCATTGAAAGCAGGTTTGTTTCCATTATTATCTTTTGCAATTTTAGGAAGTGAGCAAAGATATTCGACAACATCTGTATTGCCTTTACGAGGCATAATGAATTGGAGTCATTCCTTCATCATCTCTTGAATTGATATCAACGTTCGGAAAAGAACAAATGGATTTGATAGCTTCTAAAATGCCTAATATTTGTGTAAGATGAAGTATTGTTTTTCCAGGTTCTGTTCTTACAATGATGTCCACATTCTTCATTGTACATACATATAAAATTGCTCCTGAATTACTGTAATGACATGCTTGAAGAAGAGGTGTCCATCCAATTGAATCTTTGGTATTGAAGTTAATATCTGGAATAGAGCATACGTATTTTAGTGCATCAGCATTGTTAGTTGTGGCGGCATAATGAAATAGCGCCCATTTTCTATAAATATTATCTTTCAAATTGCGATCAATAAATGGAGATTTATAAAGATATTTAACAGCTTCAGTATCATTAACATCAATATCAAGAGATTTATGAAGAGGTGTCATTCCTTCATTATCCCTTGCATTGACATCAATATTGGGACTATTATTGTATTCTTTAATAAAATCATTATTATAGTCTTTAATTGCATAATGAAGGAGTGTAGATCCTTCTTCATCTCTTGCATTGAATAAAGTGCTTTGCTTTGATTACATCTATGTTAAAATAATATTAACAATTTTTGAAAATTTGGTTTGAATCGGATTTTAATTGTATTCAAACAATATGTTATACTTATTTTCCCTTTGTTTTCATATAATTGTTATAAAATTTTATGAATGAAGTTAAAATCAATTCAAATCTTGTTGTATTCTTAAAACATTGTAATGCAAGGATAATAATTTGACTGTAAGTGAGATTGAAGCTGTTTAAGATACATTATAAAGGTCAAAAATTTCGAATTAAAATAAAATACAAATTTTTATATTAAAATAAAAACACTTAATGTATATGGAGTAAGATCTTCTTAGCAGGAAGATGAGTATAATATCAATGCATTTAATGCAGTGTTATTTAAGGTGTCTGCATCGACAGTAAATTCTTCGCCTTCTATTTTCAACTCTGGCTGTGTTTTGTTTAGTATTGTTAATATATCGACTTTAAATTGTTGTTCATTGATCTTTTTGTTAATTGTTTCTACAAGTTCAGCAATTGCTGAAGATGATGGCGGATCCATCAACTCTGCCTTCTTTACTACGGAAATAATAAGTGGATCTATAATTTGTGGAACTGGACTGTTTCCAATTAATTCGCTAAGAGAAACCATTTTCTGATTAAGAAGCTCATACCATTTCTGCATTGACTGGGTTTGTATATCATGATATCTTTTCTTGAAATCGGCCAGGCAGTACTCTGCAACGCGATGCCAAACTCCATCTGGTTGGTGATATGTTAAAGCATTTTGATATACTAACAGCATATCATTGTACCACTCAGCAATGGTCTTATAATCGCCATGATCGAGATTTTTCAAGATCGTTTCAAAATCTATTGGTTTTTGAATAATCTGATTGTAGTTTGGCAATTGAGCTGAACTGAGTCGATCGAAAAAGCTATTTAAAGGATTTTCTCTTACAGATTGAGTAATTGTTCTACAATGGTGAAGAGAAGTTGAATTCATTCAATGAATGAGAAAAAAAAAATAATCGTTCTTCATATTTTGATAATAAACAAATAAATTCTAGTGTATTAATGAGCTATTCATAAAATAATTAATCTTAAATTAAACAAAAAAACATCTATTATTTATTTTTGATTATCAGTTCCTGTTGAATTTGATCTAGATATCCTTCCACTTAAAGAATTGGATCTAGAAAGGAATTCAGCAAGCTTCTTATTTGGTTTGGCCTCTGGAATGTCAATAATTTTTTCAGGTTCTTTAAATTTGACGACTGGCTTCTCTGCTTCTTCGCGAATATACGTAAATGAAGTTGAAGCCTTTCTATCAATGTTCTTCTTCATTGGTCCAACAGGAGCAAAGGCAGCAGGATTCTTATTTGAAAATTCTTTCTTATTAGATTTATCTTTGTTCTTTTCAGCTTTTTCTTTCCATTTTTCATATTCTTTAAGACGCTGTTCGCGCTGCCATTCACGGAACTCCATATCTTCAAGAACAGCCTTGCGCTGATCTCCATCTGCAAGAAAAGCTTGACGAGCTCTTAATTTATCGGCCCAAGTTGCATCTTCAGAGTTTGCTTTCTGAATCCACATAGCTTTTTGGATGAGCTGTTCCATGGTGTTGCCATTTAATGCTTCGAGTTGTGTTTCAATTCTCTGTTTTCTTCTTTGATTTCTCATTGTTCTTTTTTCTGCAAGTTTCTTGTTTTCTTCTTGGTTACCCTGGAATGCGCCATCAATTGAATCACCACCAGCTGTAGCAGTGCCTCGTAATTTACCACTTCTCCATTCACCAGTAATAATTCTAATGACCTTCTTGATTTCTTCAATATCAACTGCAAGACGCATATTAACAATATCTTGGTAAATCTTCTTTTCTATTTCTTCTTCTGTTAATTCTGTATCTTCTCCAATTTCATTGTTAAGTTTCTCAACAACCACTTTGGATAAGGGATCAAGTTCTTTTTTCTCTCCTTCGGTAGTTTCACCTTCTGCATTTCCTTCACCTTCCTTCTTTTCTTCCTCCTCTTCCTCTTCTTCCTCGAATTCTTCATCCTGAATTTCATTGCCTCTGTCTGCCCGTGCTTCATCTAAAATTTGTTTATCAGCCATTATCTGCATTTGCCTGCGAAGCATATTACGTCCTTTAACACCAGAAGGCGGGAGAATTGTCAATGATGGATCTTGATTATTAAAGAAATCGGCCGAAAGAACGTCTGTAAGATTTACCTTTTTATCTTTCTTTAAAGATTCTCTTCTCTTTCGTAATTTTTCAATTAATTCTGGATTACCTAAAACCTTTTTTGGTTTTGGAGCTTCTATTTCTTTAGGAGGTTCGGTCGGAGCTTTTTCACTATATTCTTCTTCCGAACTTTCTTGTATATTATTGACTACTTTTTCAGCTTCTTTAGATACGGCTTCGAAATCAATTAAATCTTTGTTTATTTCTTTTTCTTCAGCAGAATATTCCTGTTCTTCATTGTTGTTTTCAATTGGCTCTGATTTTTCTTCTTCTTCTTTGCTCTTTTCTTGAGATTCGACAGGTGTTTCTATGATTTCGAGTAATTTTTTCATTTTTTCATCTTCATCAGATGAATCAGTGTCTGAAATGAAATTCAGCTCTGTCTTTTTCTCTTCTTCGGCCCTTGGTATTTCGTTTTCTTTTTCCATATTTATTGTACGTTAAGCAAAAAGTGACGATTTGTGATTCTTTTCAGCATATATCGGCGTATTTCATAGTTGCACGCTGATAGAATGCGCCATAAATTCTATTTGGGACACACGATACATTTATTTGTGTTCTCAAATAAAGCAATAGTTGTCCAGAATACCCTTCATTTACTTAATCTTAAACACTAATAGAAACGCATGGATAAAGCCTTAAAGTTAGTTATATATTTTCATTGTTATTATGATACTTTATTTCTATTATCTCAATAAAAATTCATAAATTATATCCGAATCCATATGGTCTTTGTTTTCCGCTTGCATAAATATGATTATTTTCTCTTAGTTAATTTCGAGGATATGAAAAATCTTTTTTGTTGGTAATTTTTAAATTTTTAAATGTCTGATCAAAGCAATTACCCTAAATATAGTGAATTGCGAAGTATGTATAAATGTGACATTGATGTATATAATGCACTGTATCAGCTGAAAACTGAAAATGAAGAAGAACTAAACAAGATTTATAAAATGATCAAAACAGAATTGATTAATTCAAAGAAACAACTCCCCACGATTATTATAAAAGATATTTCAAGTATTATTTCATATAATAATCGCTATATAAACTCATATTTATATCTTGCCAACCTCATATATGATGATTATCATGTCAAAGTGGTCAATAATATTGACAAGATATTTGAAATTATGTTTTATGAAGAATATGGGATTAAATTAAACAAATATCATGATTGTAAGAAAAATGATTATCAAAATCTCGATATTCACGTAGGAAATACAATTTACAGAGCAATTCTAAATAATGACCTAGAAAGATTCATAACTTTCACGGGAAGAGATGGATTTGATAAAGATCAAGTACTTAAGAGTGATTTATATCCAAATTCTTACAACGATTACTCGTTGCTTGAATTATGTTGTTATCACGGTGCTGTTGATTGTTTCAAGTTTTTTATGAACGAAATTTAACTCAGAAATAACTCAAACATGTCTAGAATTTTCGTTTTTTGGAGGAAAACCAGAGATCATGAGTGAGTGTTTGAAATATCAAGAACCAGATAGATGGTGCATGAGAAATGCAATTATTTCACACAACATTGATTTTGTTACATTCTTGATGAATGAATATGATTTAGAGATTGATTTAGATTATTGTGGAGAATATAATAATCTTGAATCATTTTTAATTTATTTTGATCAAACTAATGATATTGATGATTGCATACTTTTTTCGGCGAAGTTCAATATTGCAACTCTTTGTGAATATTTTCTTTCACATGGAGGAAATGTCAATTGTTCAGATTTTTATGGACAAACCCCTCTTCATTATACAGTAGATAGAAATAGTAAAGAGGCAGCCGAGCTTCTTCTTTCATATGGTGCAAATATCAATGAAAAAGACATGTATGGAGAAACAGTCCTTCATTTGTCAATACGGACCAAAAATAAAGATATTGTTGAATTTCTTCTTTCACACGGTGCCAATGTCAATGAAAAAAATGATTGTTTACAAACAGCTCTTAATATTGCAGTATTTTATGAAAATGAAGCTATCATTGAACTTCTCAAATCACATGGGGCAAAATTATGATTCTTTATTCAATAGAAGTAATAATGAAGAAATATTGTTATTACATAAGATGCCACTCTGTCTTTTTCTGATATTTTTGAAAATGAAACTAATATAAAGGGATTTTTTTACAAATCACATCCAAAATTAGCAAATATTTTTTTGACACATATGCGCATATGAGTATTTCTTCGTTATTGAATGTTCAAAATATAATTTTAGTATATAGCAATATTTCTCGCGTGCCACCTGTTAAACTATGCCATATAAGTATGTTCATTAAATGACTACAATTTGAGAAAAATCTATTATAATAGGCATAAATAAAGGGTTAAATTTTCCTCAGAAATAACATTATCCAGAGACAATATGGATTATAGGACATTCTGATATCCATAGATAAACCAACAGAAATAAGTTCCGCAAGTTTTGCATGTTATTTAGAATGGATGAATGACCTTCATCGCTGGAGTAAATGCTTATCGAAACATTTTGTTAATTGCTCCCACCCGCTGGAATCATAACGATTATTTTCGTAATTTATTTGAATTGACGATAATTTTATTGTATCCAAAATTTTAAATTTTCAAAGGAAATAATAAACGCTCTTTATGATATGACATTTAAAATTACTTATATTTCAGAATAATTAAGGTTTTTAAATTTTTTATAAAATAAATTCTTCAATGTTTTTTATCTTTTCTATCCTCACCATATCAGCAAATGAGACTCTATGTGGAAATCAGACACTTCCAAGCGGCTATGTATGCTGTGATGATGAAGCATGTCCATATCAATGCTATAAATTGCAAGAATATAACCATGGAGGAAGTAAAGAGGTTTGCTTATCTCATTCACAAGAAACGTTCTGTAGACACTCCGAATACGGTCTTTTTATATCAGCAGGTATTGCAATTCTTCCGAATATTATTTTCGTTATTATTTCATTAATATTTTCACCACATACACACTGCATGACAATATTTTACTCGTTATTTGCAAACATAGCATGGTCTTCTTTTACTTTAGGTCTTGTTTGTCGTTCATTTGTTCCTCCATGGTACTTAAACTGGATTCTTCCATTTGCCATCGGTCTCTGCTGCATATTTACGATAATACCTGTATTTGGGTGTGATATATGTGGCAATAAAGCCGGTTGTATAAAAGATCGTGAATTTTTAAAGCAAAAACAAATGCTTCAAGAAATGACAGGCAAGAAACCAGATGCAGAATGTTGCGGTCTTTGTGGAACCGAGGCATGCTCAGTCACTTACGTTCTTCATCATATTTCATATCCAAAAGTTTCATCAGAAGAACTTCGCTTAATGCATCGAGAAAATATGTGTCTTCCACCAACACCGCATATGTACGCTATTTCGTTCTCTTATTTCGATAAACCTCAAACTTACGCAAATTCAACCATAGGTATACAGTATGGCTCATGGCAAGAGAATGGTGAACGCATTGAAATACCAGCAAAAGGCATTGTCGTGTATGATGCAAATGGAGAATACGAATATGATGAAAATATGGATCAAAAATTAGATTCTGCCAAAGTTGCTTCTTTCCAAAAGATGTTTATATACGAAGGATGCTTCAAAGTAGCATTTGCTGAGACAATTGCTTCTGGTTTAACTACAAAAGCTGTTGTTGTCGAAGATTCTTCTTTCGGCCAATTTTGTACATCAACGGCTGGTAAAGTTTTGTGGTGGACTACGTTTGTATTCGGCTATTCGTTCATTTTCGACACAATTTGGCAGATTAATTCGACTCGTATCAGTTTCCACTCGAGAAAGCACATATATGCTGATAAGAGTGGTAAAGTCGAATACGGAGAACGAGATATCATATAGAAAAGAGATCATTTTTATTACAGATATCATAAGAAATTAATTTCGGTACTATTAACCAAAATAAGTCTTTTATTTCATGAATTCTTGCAAAATATTCATGAAATGATCCAATATTTTTGCTTATTTTGGTGGAAAACGAAAAATTATTGATATCGAAAGAAATTTCTCATATATTGTGAATAGAGTCATTTAATTTTATGCAGATTTTAATGAAAACTTGCTATATTTTTAATTTATGTTGTATTATATTAAATTGTATGTTATTCTATTTCAAAATTAACAATTTTATTCATTCTTTAGCACCCACAAGATCATAAGGTTATTTGTGGTCACAAAATTCTTGATTTTGATTGTTTTTGCTTCGAAAACTGAGAAATTTTTTGAATTGATCATGCAATTGTATGTTTTAAAGTGGGAACTTCTCTTTAATTGTTTGAAAATCTCAATGATATTATGTTTTCTTATATTTAGATAAGTTTAAAGTTAAATTATCAAAAAAATTATTAGAAGTAGTATATCTATAATATTTTATCCGATAAATGGCATAATAAACAAAACAATAATATAAAGGATAAGTTTCGCTTTAATCTTCAGCGAAAATCTTATCATATTTTGCAAGATACGAATCTATATCTTCAGGTAAGAAAAATTGGTTGTTATCTTTATCTTCATCATTTGCTAAACCAGGTTCTCCGTTGAAAAGATTACCTGTCCACGTATCATCAACAAGATTTGTTTTTACAAGCATATTTATAGAGTTACACATCTGTTCACGTGCTTTTTTTATTTCTAAATCGTTTTTCTGCATCTCTTCTGATGAATCTAAAGAAATTTCCGAAAATTGTAGTTCTGTGTTGCAAGTAGGGCATCTGCAAGTACCTGTTTGCATTGTAGACTCTACAACATCAATAACTCTGAAAGGACGGCAAGAAGAGCAACGTTTATTCCTAGATTTAAAGAATAAATCTGAAGGAGCAACTAATCCTTTCAAAGAACCGTAAAAATCGTGAATAATATTTTCATTTGGTTTCCTTCTGAGGTAATAAAATGAAGCAATACAAATGCTGTCGTTAAATTGAACTGGAAATTGAATATGGTATGTTTGATTTGGCTTTCTGATAGAATTTATGTAATATATATACACGCCATGACATCCAAAGCTGCCTGGAACGATTTCAATGTCATTTACTTTGATTGGAAATCTCGGTTTTGTTGAAATAAAAGGAGTAGAAACTTGAGCGATTATATACATATCACTGTCAACAGTCTTTGGTGGGATAATATCAAAACCTGTCGTAGATAATTGCATAACTTTGTGAGCAATTAATTCTGTGCTTGAATTAATAAAAACAATTGGAGTACTAAATTGAGGAAATATAGATTTTGGATCACTTGCAATTGCGAGACTTTGCACATATTGATTTAAGGCTTTTTCAATTAGAGGGGCTTTTTCGAGTATGCTTGGGAGAGCAACTTCTACAAATTTCGATGCTCTTTCTTGTCTCTCGAATTTTAATATTTCTGGAGCGAATATTGCCAAAAATCCATCAAGTCTATCATCAGAAAGCGTTTTTATAGCATCTTGTATCTGTACTGTAGGATTATAAGTTGGAGTGACCGCCATAAAATTCGATGCCAAGTTTTTTGCTTTTCCAATTTTTCCTGTTCGTTTCTTCTCTTCTTTCTTTGTTATTGCTTGAACGAGAGAAGCTGTTTGTGGTGTAATTGGAAGAGGTGGAGGTGGTGGCGGAGGCTTGTTTGTCCTTTGATCCCAAGGAGGAACATAATTTGTACCAGTACCTGATTTTTTGATCTTATTTATCTCAAGAATCTTAGAGATTATCTCAGGAGGTAATTGTGTCTTTTGATTTTGCTGTGACATTCCTTCAAAATATCTGTTTTTCCTTTATATCAAATATGAAATCAAAAAAGTGACAAAACCTAATAAAGATGTCTGAATTTAGCATTCCTGTTATAGAAAAGAAGAAAAGACCACAGATGGGAAAAACTGTTTCATCATTGTTTGCAACTTCAAAGAAAAAAGACGAAGAAGAACAGAGGAAACAAGATGAACAAAGAGCTAAAGATAATGCAAAAGAATTCATCGAAAAAGAACGCAAAAAAGTTGAACCAAAAGACAAATCTAAAGTAGAAAGTCCATTTTTAAGGCTTTTGAAAGAAAGGCAGAAAAATATAAATTCAAAAGTTGTAGTTCCGACACCAGATCCCAATGATTCTGCTGCTCCATCTGCTGGATTTGGAGAAAGAATGCTTGAAAAGCAAGGATGGAAGAAAGGAGACGAAATTGGACTATAACCAAACCAAATTCATGTCTATTTACTATTTTATACTATCATTTTCATTACTTCGTCGATGTCTATTCATGTTATAATACTATCTTTAATGCAATATTACATTTTTATTGAACAAAAGATCAAGTATCATTTCCATAGTCATGATTGTGTACTTGGATTTACATTTGATCATATGCTTGTAATATTCCATAATTGATCGCTTAAGTTAGTGAAATATCAAAAATATTCATAGTTCACTAACTATATGAGATTGCCTATAGTTCATGCTAAAGTTATCTAACTGAAACAGAAGATAATTAGATTTTGCTTAACTTCTCAATGAAATTGAGCAAATAAAATCAAAAATCTAAATCTGGGCATAGAGTAAAAATATATCTAATAAAAATTGGATGTAAATTAACAATTTATATAATTTCGAAAGAAAACAATATTGAAAGTTTTTGAAAATATTAAAATTGAATTAAACTGCTGAAAGTTTTGATTCAATAATCTCGGATACTTTATCGATGTTATTAAGATAGTTATTGTATTTTGTACGATAAAGTTCAAGCAATTCACGCCTTGTTAGGCCGGCCAAATCATCAAGTTCTTCCTCGTATTCATTAAGCTCTTCTTCCTCTTCTTCGATATTTTGGAATGATTCTTCCTGGGTGTTTATTGAGCGTTCGAGTACTGGGGTTGGAATTGGACTTGTAATATCAGATTTCTCGATTGGTTCTGGTTTCGGAAGTTTTTTAGGAGATGCCTTTTTCTTTGGAGAATTTTGAGGAGCAGCACGGGTTACAGAAGACTGTGAACTTAATGCAAAACGTGAACGACGCATTTTGAAAACTTTATTGGCACTTTTTCTATGTAAACAAATTCTGAAATCATGTCATTCTTTATTTGTTTATTATTCGTATGTCATCAGGGTGTATTTCCTAATGTATTTACTATGGAATTTCTTTGAATTTGCTACAATTCCTCAATAAAAATTGTCAATCTATAGCAATTGGTTGTATAATAATGTTGTATTTGATTTTTAATGCTAGAAAATTATCCTATCCTATTCTTGGACAGTTAGAGAGCATATTGAATCCAGAATTTCTTATGAAATTAAAATGAGATGTATTTCGTTTTATATCAAGTTAACTTGGTGATTATATTTCATTCATTGCTTCAATTGGCCTAATGACTTTAAATGAAATTTTCTATAAAAATTATTAAGTATTGAGATTATGAAAGAGCACAGAATTGCAACACGCATGATGGGATATAATGACTAAGATGATATTTAAAAAAATAAAATTATTTTATATAATTAAAAAAACAAAATTTATGCAGATGGGATGCCAATTTCTGTAAGCAAAGCATCAAGAAGTGTAGATTGCAATCTAAATTCGTCGCCAGATTCTGAACGCAAATCCTTGAGTTCTGAAGCACGAAATTCATATTTAGTTTCTGTTTCTCCATATGCTATGCGCTTTGTAAATCCGCGTTTAACATTCCAGTTAAAAACTTTGTGAACGTTTTTGATTGATTTTTGTAAACTGTTCAGTGAAGAACAAACTCTGCCGGCTATTAAATTATAAAATGTTGGCGCTGGAAGGATATATCCATCTTTAACAATATACTTTGCAATAATTTCGTTATTTAGAACTTCATCAATAACAACGAGGCCTTGGTCTACAGAAACAGATTTGTGTTCTGGTTTACTAAGATGTGCAGCTGATAAAACTGCACTACCGTGTGGTTGTGCAAATGATATTTCAAGTTTTGAGCCGCGTTCTGGTTTATAATACGGACTTGATTCAAAATATGGATGAATGATATTTTCTAGTGTAAGACCTTCTTGTTGGATAAATTCTTTATTGATAAAAGCCCCTTCCATTTTATAAAAATATAAAAAAGTGACAATTTTGAAATTAATGAAGAATGGATATTTCTTAATTTAAATATTTGTACATTATTACACATAAGATAAATAATGCCAAATTACTATATTTTTTTAAATTGAAAACTTTTTTAATGTGTTTTCTTCTTTTACAACTTAATAAACTCTTTTTCAGGACTTATAATGTCTGATTAAGTACTCAATAATAAAGGAAAATAAATAATTGAAAGAATTTATAATAGAATTCTACTCAAATATGCACAGTGACTTTAACATTGGATTAGTATATTTTTAAGATAGACTTTATATAATATTTTAAAAAATAAACAACAATAATATATAATTCAATAGCCGAATTCGAAATCTTCGTTCATTCTCATTTCTCCAGCTTTCCATTGGCGGACAGTATTATCCTTTGAGGCAGTAATAATTCGATCGCCCGCATAATTGAAAGAACACATCATAACTGCATCAGTGTGACCTTCAAGAACTTCTGTACATGAGCCATCTTCAGCATCCCACAAGCGACAAGTCGTATCGTCAGAGGCAGTTAATAATTTATTTCCTTGAGGAGAAAACATACAAGAACCGACTTCATCGGTGTGACCTTCGCATACTGCCAATCTGTTTCCATTAACGCTCGACCAAATTGCTGCAGTCTTATCTAAAGATGAAGTTGCAATTTTTGATCCATCAATGGAGAAACAGACACTTAGTACTTGATCCTTATGGCCATTAAGGACTGCAATATTTTTCACCATACGTACATCCCATAATCTTGCAGTTCTGTCGTAAGATCCTGTAATTACCAAATTTCCACCTAAAGAGAAGTCTGCTCCTGTAAGTTCCCCTGTATGTCCTCTAAGTATTGATATGCAATCGCCTGTTCTTGTATCCCAAAGTCGCGCGGTTTGGTCAAATGAAGAAGTAAGTAAAATTGGTTCTGTAGGATGAAAGTCGATGCCAATAACTTCGGCTGTATGATCTTCTAATATATGTTTTAGAGCTCCTGTTTCGACATCCCAGATTCTACAAGTGGAATCCATGCTTGCTGTTGCTACTTGGGCAGAATTTGGATCGAATCTGATTGATACAACCTCTTGTGTATGTCCTCGTAGCATATGTAAGTTCTTTGCTTCTTTTACATCCCATATTCCTGCTGTTTTATCAAAAGAAGCTGTAGCAACAAGATTTCCAACAGGAGTATTAAACGTACAACTATATACAACGTTATTGTGTCCTTTTAATGTTGCTATATTTCGTCCAGTCTCTGTTTCCCAGATGCAGCAAGTTCTGTCTGAGGAACCAGTCACAAATAAGTCACCATTCTTGTTGAATGAGCAATCAAAAATAGGCATTTGATGTGTTTTGTAAACATTTTGTAAATAAAATTGTGAATATTCGACATTTTGCATTTTTAATATTTGTTGGAGTGCTTCTATTAATTTTGGCTTGTGTCTTTCTCTAAATTCGCTGTTTTCGGAGATAATTTTCGTTGCTAGAGCGTTCATATCAGTAAGATTTGTTATTGGAGGTAAATTAATATTTTTTTTCATATTCTTCCCTTCGTGTGTGTATTCAATATTAAGTCCAGGTGGATAATATTTTACATTTAAGCTCCTAATCTTATAGGACATCTAGTCTAAGAATTTTTTAAAAAAAGTGTCAAAACTATTCGTTTATAAAAAATTCAATTTCTCTCAAAACAATACATGATAGAGCTTTAACGGCTAGAAAATACGAATCTAAAATATGTCATACGAAGAGCAGTGTCCATAAGTTTTCTGCCTACTAAAATAAAACATTAATGAGTGATTTGCAAAAAAGGTGACCAAACTATTTTTTGAAAGTCCGCCATAACTTTAATGGTACTATTTCAGCGTGTACAATGAATACAAAAATTCTAAGAGTGCCACATAAAATCGTACTTTAGATTTGAGTTAATGCTACCAAGCAAATGTTAAAAAGATGACTTTAGTGTTTTGATAATCAAAGATTAAAATCATTATTGTCTAAATCAATAATCATAACGACAGAAGTTAATGTTTTTTCATAAGTGCTTTAAATCCACTTTTAAAAGTATACCTCAAAAATCAAAATATCAAAAAAAAATTGGCCGATAGGTTTGGCTTTAATTTTTGTCTGCTTTTATGATTTGATATGGATGTTATAATTTTAAAAGTTGAGCCAAATTCACCAATAGATTTTTGAGATTTGCAAATACTCAATAATTTTCAGCGTGTTATCTTTTATTAAAAGAACTATTTGGTTTCAGTATCATATAAATTGATATTTACTTTCTATTTGAACCTTCATTTAGCTAATGATTTAGTAATACAGATTTCATCTAGTCCTTATAAGAGAATTTTGAATTTGTTATAATAAAAAAACAAACAGATATAGCTTACACTTCTATAATAAAGATACCTTTTATAGAAATCAGTATGAAATGTGTTTTGGCTTATTGGAAGCATATCAGACATAATCGCCATAATCAAAAAATCTATATACCCAATAAGTAATAAATTTGTCGATATAGATTTTCCATAAAATTAGTTTTTAGTCTGATCTTAAAATAAATTTAATTTTTTATAAAAAAAAATCACATTTAAAAGTACCTTTTTAGTAGCTCGAAATCCTGTTGGTGGATTTCGGGCGTACTTCAAAATTAGCTTTTCTTCTACATATGCAAGCTATATTTTAAATATGGGGCAAATCGGATCGGCGAAAGGAGTTTAGTTACCTTTTTTGCAAATTTTTTAATGTTGACTTCATTAATAAAGTTTATTATAATTTAATGAAAATAATGTTTTTGCTTCAAAAGAAATTCATCGGCTGTAAAATGAAGAGCGTTTCCCCAGATTTACTCTTTTTTTTATTGAAATATGAACCATATGCTAGGAAATATTCGCTAAGGGATGGAATATCAAACATTGCTGAATTTAAAAAGCATGATTCAATATCATTAGTTTGATTTCAATAAACTAAAAATGATTCAACATTATTAAAACTAACGCATTCAATTGGGTAGATCTAGAGTTTGTACTCATTCATCAAAAATGTAACAAAGTCAATGTTGTGTGAAATAATTGCATATTGCATGGTACTACTATCTGGTTTCTTATATTTCAAACATTCACTCATGATCTCTGGATTTCCTCCTAAAAATGAATATTCAAGACACTTTTGAGTAATTTCTGCGTTGAACTTTGTCCTTAAGATCTTGAAACAATCAGCAGCTCCGTGGTAACAACATATTTCAAGATATGATAATTCATTTTGGAAAATCGTGCGAGGATCATCAGGATATAATTCGTTTCTAAGCTTGTCATTTATATTAAAATTTTCCGCTTCGGTGAACGAGATGAAATAATGCGCAGTTTGAATGTAAAATAATCGTTTTTGCGCATTTTTTGCACTTGTAGGAAAACCCCTCTTTAAAAATGTAATATATGATTTCGTTAAAATATTAATATTAAATTAAAATATCCTGCAAATCGATGAGCAATATCCGGACGATTTCTGCTTGTTTGCTTTATGTTCAGTATTATGTTGTCTGTTGTTTAAATTTATAGCATTATTTATTGGAATTATTCCAGATTTATTTTTTTCATTTAAACCTGATAATTTTGAATGTAGAATTTTTATGAGATATTGATTTTTTTCCATTGTTGCATAATAAAGAGCTGTATTGTTGTTGCAATCTTTTGCAGTGATATCTACTCCATGTGAAATTAGCAGTTCAGCAGCCTCTGTATTGTTATAAAATGCAGCCATAATAAGAGGTGTTCTACCAAGTCTATCTTTTACCTCCGTATCGCAACCATATGAAAGAAGAAGTTGTATTACATCTTTACTGTTACACTGAGCTGCAGAATGAAGTGGGGTTTGATTGCCAGCATATTTAGAATTGATATCACAGCCATGTAAGATCAATTGTTCCACAATATCCCTATAATTATGAAGGGCTGCAAAATGAAGCGCCGGGAATCCATAAATATCTATTGTTTTGAAATTTACTCCATCCGAAACGAGAGTACTTATTTCTTCATGCATATTATGTTTTAAGACATATAATATAAGCACCTTTCCAATAATAGGTTGTTTTTTAATAATATCATTGTAAAATGGTATAAAGAGTTTTACGATCTCTGTATTATTTGCATCCATTGCACACTGAAGTGCTGTTTTTCCACCATAAGTTGCTGATGTAATATCAGCTCCATTTATAAGTAGAAATTTTGCTGTTTCTTTACTATTATTAATGACAGCATAGTGGAGTGCCGTTTTCCCTTCATTATCTCTTACATTGATATCAGCACCTTTCGAAATAAGAAGTTCAGCTATTTCTTTAGAATCAGAGATAGCTGAAATATGCAGAGCAGTTGTTCCATCTTTATTTTTTGCATTAATAAAATTCTGATCTTTTAAACGTGTAAGTAATGTGTTGCAAATTTCTAAATTATTGAAATAAGATGCATAATGTAGAAGAGACCATTTGCTTAAACAAACTTTATTCAAATCGATATTTTCGTTTTTAATGATGTCAATAGTTTGTGGAATTCCAGCGCACCATGGAATAATTGAATTTTTATCTTTCTCGAACATATGAACAACAACTTTCATGTTTTGAGATATAATTGGATAAATGAAATCAAAATCTTTTGGGATATTGATATCTCTGTCAAATATATAGTCGAGAAGCTCATCGTTATGAGAAACAATAATGTTAAGAATAGATTCTCTATCTATCTGGTTCACTTTGAGGCATTCATTAATGATGTCGGTATTCCCTCCAATGAATGAATATTGTGTAACTTTTTGAGTTATATGATAATTTAAGTTTGATATAAGGAAATTGAAAATATTGACTGATCCGAAGAAAGAACATGCTTCGATGGGAGAAAGATATAGTTCTGGAACACGTACAAAAACATCATCTATTGGATGTTCAAGGATAAATTCTTTAAATTTATCAATCTGGTCATGCATTAGAAAGTATTGTATTTCATTCTCTTTTGGGAATGAGTTTGGATTGTAATTAATATTGAATATTCCATCCTTGTTTGTTGTTATTTGCATATCAATTGAACGAATAATTTTTGATACAAACTGAAAGCCCAAATTAGTGCCCGATATTGAAAATTTCAAAAAGATATTTTTGAGAATTTCCAAGTAAAGTTCAATTGATCGATAATTATACTTGATCGCAATGAATATGCTAATAATAAGGTCATTTATGCGTACTTTAAACTTGGAAATTAATACGTTGGAAATCATATTTAAAATATCTTCATAAGATTCGTCGTATTGTAGGTGAAAAAGTCTGTAATATCCTTTTATAAACTCCTCATATTGCTCAAAATAATTTGTTTGCATTATGAAAAATATGTATGAAGATTTGTCAAAGGCCAAACTTCTTGTATCGTCGTAATTTTCTATTATAAATTTATCAGCTAATATCAAGTTTCAATAAACATGTTTCATTATTCTAACATATTTGCAAAATGCTAGTTATTTTTCAGCTTTTATTTGGAGCAAGCTTGGTAGCTTCAATTTAAAACAGAAAAATGAGCTTAAATATGTATTGAAACTTTTTCATTGAAAGTGCAAACTTGATTTCTTATTAATTACTTTATTGCAATAATTCAAAATCTTTGCTGGATATAGAGATGGCTGTTTCTATACATATTTCCCTCCTAATAAGTTTTAAAATATAAAGTTTATAATAATAAATTCATTTTTATTATTTATTTTAAAATCTTACTTAGTTAATTCTTGGAGTCTCTGCCAGCGCTGATCAATATCTTTGCCTAAGAGTTCCTGGAGATCGTGTTGTCTCTTGGAGTCGATCTTTCTGAGTGATTCGTAGCGAGATTCGTGCTTCAAGAAGTCAGCGAGTTTCTCCTTCTTCATTGTTGGGTTATCTAAGACAACCTTCTGTCCTGGCTTCCTTCTGAAGATTGGCCAGTATCCGGACTCGACAGCGAGTTTAGCCTGCTTGTGGCCGTTCTTCATTGTTGGTCTGACGCCGTGTCCGATGCATGGGCAGTAGCAGTCGATGAATGATGTGCCCTTGTGCTCGTCGGCCTCCTTCATTGCCTTGACTGTCTGAGCAGCATTAGCGCCGATGACGCATGATGCGACGTAGACATCTGGGTACTGTAAGAACATGCCAGCGAGGTCCTTCTTCGGCTTATCCTTGCCTGTTGCTGCGAACTTGAGGACGGAGCCACGTGGAGATGCCTTGGATGTCTGGAAGCCTGTGTTGGCGTATGACTCGTTATCGTAGACGAGACAGTTGACATCAGCACCTGTAGCGACGACGTGGTCGAGGCCAGCAAAACCGATATCGTTAGCCCAGCCATCGCCACCGACGATCCAGACTGATGGTTTGACGAACAAGTCGTATCTCTTCTGGATCTCTCCGAACAATCCTGTTGTCTGTGGGATTGTCTTGAGGATGTCCTGGATGGAGTTGGAGAGTGGAAGTGACTTCTCACCCTTGTCGTAGTTGGCGAGCCACTCTGTGAACAATGCCATGAGTGCTGGATCGCACTTCTCGCCGGACTTGATGAATCTCTCGACAATTCCCTTGAGTTCGAATCTGCGGTGAGCAACGGCGGCGGCGATACCGAGGCCGAACTCAGCGTTATCTTCGAACAAGGAGTTGCCCCATGTTGGGCCTTGTCCGCGTGAGTTGTATGTCCATGGCTGTGATGGGAATGAGCCAGACCAGACGATGGAGCAGCCTGTAGCGTTGGCGATCATGAGACGTGGGCCGAAGAGTTGTGTGAGCATCTTGGCGTACAATGTCTCGTGACAGCCTGCGCAGGCACCAGAGTACTCAAGTAATGGCTTGTAGTACTGTGAGCCATCAGCTGTCCACTTCTTCTTCTCGAGGCTTTCGTTGAGAGCTGGATCAGCCTCACGTAATGCGTCGATGTCTGGAAGCTTGGCGAACTTGTCGTAGAGTGCGGCAGCCTTTGTGACAACTTCCTCTGTGGCAAGTGGGAATGACAATGCCTTTGTCGGGCACTTCTCGATACAAACTTGGCATGATAAGCAGTCGTGTGCTGAAACAGTGATGGCGAAGTCGTATCCCTTGAACTTCTTGGACTGAAGAACTTTGACTCCTTCTGGCCCCTTGCCGTGCTTCATCAACTGTGGTCTGATGACAGCGTGTGCGCATGAGTAAGCGCAGGTATTGCACTGGATGCACTTGTCGGCGTCCCAAACTGGGATGTTTGTAGCAATGCCACGCTTCTCGTACTTGGATGAGCCTAAGCCGTCACGTGGGATTCTGGCTGTGATTGGAATGAGATCGGATGGCTTCATCTCGTTGCCCTTGAGCTCGAAGATTGGGAAGATGGCCTTCTTCATGAGCTCTGGAGCATCGGCGTTGGCGAATCTGGAAATTGGTGTTGGATCGAACTGGCCCCATTCCTGTGGCATTTCGATCTTGATGAGGTTATCGATGGAGGAGTCGATAGCCTTGATGTTGGCCTTAACGACTGCTTCGCCGGAATGTCCGTACTGCTCTTCGACGGAATCCTTTGAAACCTTGATAGCGTGGTTTGTCTCAAGAACGCCAGAGAGGTAGAAGAAGGCTGTCTGCATGATGAGGTTGATACGTCCTGGAATTCCACAATCGATGGAAATCTTTGTAGCATCAATGCAGTAAACCTTAGCCTTCTTGTCGTAGAGCTGGCGGAGTGTTGCCTTTGGAATGTACTTCTCGAGTTCCTTAGCATTGTGTGCTGGGCAGTTGAAAACGAAGATGCCGCCGTTCTTCAACTCCTTAGCGACTGGATAGACGCGTGGGAAGTTGATGCAGTGGACACCAATGTAATCAGCCTGCTTGATCGCGTAGTTTGATGTAATTGGCTTCTTGCCGAATCTGAGGTGGGAACGTGTGAGACCACCAGACTTCTTAGCATCGTATGTGAAGTAGCCTTGGCCGTAGAGTGGTGTTTCCTTGCAGATGATCTTGATTGATTCCTTGTTGGAGCCAACTGTACCATCGGAGCCAAGACCCCAGAAGATGCACTGCTTTGTGCCATCTGGAACCATATCAATTTCCTCTGGTACTGGAAGGCTTGTGTGCATTAAGTCATCGACAATGCCGATTCTGAAGAGATTGCGTGGTTTCTCGGAGAGAGAGTTCTTGAAGACTTCGGCGGCCTGTGATGGTGTAAGCTCGCGGCCACCAATGCCGAACATGCCACCAAGAATCTTACGATTGTCGCCAATAGCCATGAAACCGGCGCAAACATCGGAATGTAATGGTTGTGTGAAGGCGCCGTTCTCGTTAACTCTGTCGAGAACTGTAATAACTTTGCATGACTTTGGAATTGCCTTGGAAAGATGCTCTGGTGAGAATGGGCGGTAGAGATGGACTGTAACAACACCGTACTTGGCACCCTTTGCGTTGCAATAGTCAACTGCTTCCGAAATGTTCTGGGATGTTGAACCAAGAACAACGATGACGGATTCAGCTTGTGGATGTCCGTAGTAGTCGAAGAGATGGTGCTGACGTCCTGTAATCTTTGCGAGTTCATCCATTGATTCTTGGACAATTTGTGGAACATTCTGGAAACGGTAAGCAGCGGCTGTATCAGCTTGGAAGTGGAATGATGAATCGATAGCAAGCATACGAAGGGAAGGATGGTTAGGGTTGAAAGCGCGTTCACGGAATTCATCGAGTTCCTTCTGAGGAATGAGTGGCTTCAATTCGTCGTATTCAAGAAGCTCGACGTTTGTAATCTGATGAGATGTTCTGAAACCATCCCACCAGTGAAGGAATGGGATCTGGCATTTCATAGCAGCAATGTGAGCAACAGCAGCAAGATCGTGGCAGTCCTGGTTAGAAGCTGATGAAAGCATGTTAGCTCCACTGGCTCTGACTGTCATAACATCTGAATGGTCGCATTCGATTGTACCAATCGAAGAAATAAGTGAGCGGGAGGCAACATGAATGACGGTAGGAACTTGGGCATGCTTCATCTTGATGATATTTGGAAGCATTAAAAGTAAACCTTGGGAGGATGTGAATGTAGATGCGACTGCACCAGCAACGGAGCCACCATGAAGAGAACCTGCAACGCCACCTTCATGTTCGAGCTGAATGCATGTTGGAACTTGTCCGAAAATATTCTTCCTGTGATCCTTATTGGCCCACTGCTCAACTAATTCGAAAGCTGTTGTTGAAGGAGTGATTGGATAGCCGAATGCAGTCTCTGTAAATGCATAACCGACATATGCGGCAGCTGCATTACCGTCGACTGGGACGACATGCTTTTGACGAGAAAATGCGTCTCCAATACTTAACATCAAATAAAATTGAAAGGACTCTATCGTTCTTTCATAATCAGTTTATTTCTCATTATGAACAATATGAATTGATGAAAAATATATTGAGGATAAAAAAAGTGAATGGAGAAATAAAATCATTTCAATTTTTGAATACATTAAAACTTATTTGGCAAATGGAATCACCACATATTCACTATCACTTATGTGGATTAGACAAAAAAGATGATGTGATGTCGAAAAAAAAACAATGAAACGATATGTTTTCAAAATTGTGATCCATTCAATTTCAATGTTATAAATGAAGGATGTGGCTAATCTTAATATTCGAGGGGATTTTTCTTGAAGTTGATAAGGATCACTCTTTTAAAAGAGTTGAAAGACTCCTTTATGATGAATTTGTTCAGTAAATTTGTTTCAAAATTAATTACAGCTATCTTCAAAGTGGCATTTTGAGTGATTCGATGACATTTATATTTTTATTTTGTTATTGTTAGTTATTTATTCAAATAGTTATTCATTTATTTTAATGAGTCATTGGATTTCAAATTGAAATAGATGAAAATTTCCATTATTGTGTTGCACAAGTACGAAATTACATTTTGTTGCTTATTTAAGTAGGTACTAATTCATTATTAAGTAGATAATACCCTATGTAAAATCATGATCAATTCATATTAAGTTTGAATTAAATAAGCATTCAATACATTAAGGTCTTGTCTATTTTGATAGCAGCTTCTTAAATTCTAAACTGATTGGACACAATCTATTAATATCTTTTTTTAAATATTAATGTTTCGTTTTAAATTCTAATTGAAATCCAACTTATTTTTACTAAATCTAACAGTTCTTTATTGTAGAAACTTTAAATATACAATGAGGCTTTCAATTAGCAGGAGAGTCTTGTCATAATGTTTTTAAGGCTTTCATATATCAGAAGTAGTTAAGTTAGATTAAGTAGACTGTGATATCACAGATTCTTTTAAACAGAAATCATAGATTTGCTATAATAAGATTATCTAAAAGAGAAAAGTATTTAATTAAGTCACTAAAGTCTCTTTATGTCTTAAGATATGAGTAACTTCACTTTTTGATAGAAAAAAACATTAAAAGATTAAAATTAAAAAATAGATAATTATATTTTAAATTTAAGATGGAGGATCTATTGTATTAAGTATATGAATTGCTAAATCTGCAACTCTCTCATCATCTGAGTTTGCAAGATCACTAATTTCTTCTGAAATTGGACTGATATCAATTCCATGTTCAAACAAACATAAAGCGAGGAAAAGAGCATCATATGTAGTTTCTATGTTGTAATAATCAACCATTTCAAAGATCAAACCAATAATATCTTCATTTGGAATAATTTCATCGAGCCATGGACCTGAACGGATCATATTCGCAATAAGGCTGACTAATTCAGCTTTAATCTTGAATGATGCATATACTAAGTTGATTTTTTCAATGACATTTTCTTCCAAAATTCTTTTTCGAATGTAAGGAGAGTATTTGCATAATGTTCTGAAGCATCTCAAGGCTGCAATCATTGGTATCTCGAATCTTGTCATATCTAATGTCCAAAATGACTTCATTCTGCCGACAATATCAACTTTCATCTGAGAAAGGTCGTAATATTCAAAATTAATTGATGTATATAAATCACAAAGAGCTTTTCCGATTAATGGTGTTGTTGCTGGATCCATTTTCATCGTATAATCAAAAAGAGTTTTTGATATTGCCAAAGAAGTCAATTCAGGGACTGTAACGATCAATTGTTTGATAGCTTGAACGGCTGTCTCTTGTACGCGTTGGTCGTTTGAAGAAAGCTTGCCTGTAAAGTATTTACAAGCTTGTTGTAATTTTTGAATTGGAAGTGGATTGTAAGTGAATATTTCTGTAAGGGCTTTGATTGGAAAACTTACTTCAAGTAAAGGGTCAGTAGATCTTTCGAAAAGAAGCATAAATATCGAATCAAATACAACAAGAGAAATTGCTTCGTCATATTCGCGAAAATGTGGGCATAATGTCATCATCACACCACAATGTAAGTAGAAATATTTGCGTTGCTTGTTAGTTGAAAGAGCATGAAGTGAATTTTCTATTATTTGTATTGCAAGTTCTGGATCTATCTCGAAATGAATGGTATTTAGGATTCTCTCGACGCATTGCATGGATTGTATATCTCGAGTTGCTGATTTTCCTAATCCATTAACCGCAACGAAAATTAATTCTTGAATTTCATCTTTTTGTAACAATCTAAGACATCCTTCGTAATGTATTTTCTTGTACATTTCACTCCATGAAATGTTTGAATCTGTTTCTTTAACATTTTGAATAAAATTCTGTAATTGGAACAATTCATTGGGCATTGGATCTCTAACGTAAAGTTTTTCTGTTCCAGGTTTAAAATCGGATGACAGTTGTTCTCCAGGAGGAAGAATAGTTGCTCCGATTTTATAATCCATATTTTGTACGATATTGATTTTTCTCGATCGTACAAGGATTTTACAAAAATATTTTTATAATAAATATGTTCGCTTTTAAATGTGGACTGCTTATCATCTCAGGATAAATTTTATTTTGAATAGATACCCATCATTTGGAAATTTCCTCTCAAAAAAAAATGAAAGGAAACAATAAATCAAAAGTCTGTTAATTTGTCCGAAATAAATTAAACCCTTAGAAATAAAGAAGACGGTTTGCCATTTTTTGTGAATTCTCACAATTTCGAAAGCGATCACACACTATTGATTTGCATAAATTGGTTCTATATATATGCAACTTGACTGGTAGAAAAACAGAGCGATTTTTATCAATAATTAACCATTCTAATTTAGATTTTATTGAGAAAGGTAGTCCCTAGAAAAGTGACATCTCTATTCTTTTTTCCTGGGGTTACTGATCACTTTCTTTCTGCTCGTTATGCCAGAAATGAAAGAAATGATTGGTACAACCTTATTTATTACTCCAATTGGCAACTATCCTATATAGTAAACTTAGTTGTATTGTCAGTTATTCTCCAGATTTATGTAATTTAAAATCAACTTCGTTAATTATATTGCATCAATACTCTTACACCGAGATAGCATCAAGATTGCCCTTCCAAAAGCACCACATTAAAAATTGAAACGTTGCTTTTCGAAATTGCAACGATAAAATTCCTTGTAATTTTGGGCTTTTACGTACCTCATGGTACATATTCAAATAAATTGAATATAGAATTAGTTACTAAAATTTGAGGAAATTAATGCAATAAGAAAAAAAGTCGGCTTTATTATATAAGTTACTTATGAATTCCAAAGACCTTTACAATCAGTGCACGGTACAGTATATAATCTTATGATATTTCCGATTTCAATTTTATACATTTTAACTGGAGTATTCATATCTCAAATCTATACGAAAGAGACTCCATTTATACTAATACAGTACGTTTCTATTCATCTATATACTTATTGTTGTTGAAATAAAAACATTATTATTTTACTATCTTAAAATAAGAATTTTGTTATGTAAATAATTTTTCAACAACAATTATGGCATTACATCAACTCATCAATGAGTTTTTATAAAATATGATTTCTAATCAAAAATTAGATGCCTTTTATGAGTCTAAACGAGTTCATTTGATGAATTAACTAATTACACAGTACTTTGATTTTCCAAATTTTTTTGAAATTGATTTTTTCAAGAGAAAAATTATAAAATTGATTTTCATTTCTGAATTTTTGAATTTTTTTTGGTGTTTGGAGATGACCAATTAAGCTGAAGGAGTAATTCGATTGTTTTGTACATCTGATAAGGTGATGAACTGAAGGCGAATCTTAAAAAAATTATTTTAAATCACAAATATCATTCTCATTATCATTTGATAAAGCATGATCTATATTATTAAAATATTTGAATATTAGATTTAAACGAAAAACTGCTTCATTGTGCAATATAATAGTCTCTAACATTAAGATATTCATCGATAAATTTATTTTATTATCAAATAATTTTTAATATATTACTTATTTAAGCCCACATGTGCACGCATTAGATTGGAATAGTTGATTATATTTAAACAGAATTCTAATATTTATTTATAAGTGGAAACAAATTTAATGCATTTATTATACAGGTACAGTTAATTAGAATCCTTAGATCTAATAACAATTTGATGCAATGTAATGTCTTTTGGCTTAAAACTGTAAGATATATCTTCGACTAATGAGTTCAAAGCTTGACAGGAAGGAGTTATAAAATCTAATCTCGCCTTTTTACTCAAATCGGCTTTAGGAAGCGGTTTAACGTTTTGTATAATATTTGTGATTTCAACTTGAGAAGATTTAATAATATCTATAGGTTTTTTCTTTGTTATACTACATTCTATGTTGGCATCAGCGCCATGTAAAACCAATGTTCCAACTATATCAATATTATTATTTGTAATAGCTATAAATAACGGCAAGGCTAGATATTTTGGATCATAACCAGTATATAACAATGATTCTATTATATCAATATACTCGTATGTAACAGCTATTGATAAAGGATCTAAATTTCGATCATCTACTAAAATTGGTGATGCTCCATAGAATAAAAGAAGATCTACTACATCAGGGTAATTTAAGAAACAAGCAACATGAAGTGCATATGTACCTCCAACATAAGAGTTAACAGGATATTTGTTTTCTAAGAGATATTGTATTATATCGAGTCTGTGAGCCAAAATTGCAATTAATAGTGGTGACATTTCTTTAAATGCTCGATTTAAAACGTAAAATACTGAACTTGAACGATGATCTTTCAATTGCTCGATTGAATACATTTGCAAATCATCTAGTTTTCCATAAAAAATGATTTCAGATATTTTGGAATCACTAGGAATTGCTAACATTTTAATACTGAAGAAAAAATGTCACGTAAAGTGTCAAAATTATTATGAATTTGAATGATTTCATTGATAATGCATTAAAAGTTAAATCTATTGAAGCAGTTTCTGATTTTTATATACAAGATAGCAGTGGAATTGTTGTTTCTGGAGATGAAATGGCTATTTCCAAAACATTATTAAAAGAATTAACACGCTTTTCAATAGTAAACATAGATAGCGATGCCGACAAAGCATCATTAATCGGAGTCCTAATAGGATCACATGATGAACGCCCATTTATATATCGAAGAAAATTTAATAATCAAAACATTGAAGAAGAACTACACTTTTGCCAAATTGGTTTAACAGTTAATCCAAAATGTCAAGGCGCATTTACTAGAATTCGAGAATTATTACTAATAAATAAAAATCAATCACAAATCACAAAACATATCGAATTTTGCAACTTTTTAACAACAAAACGCGAAAGAAACTATCTTCTTTGGTCTCATAGAGTTTGGCTGTATGATACATTCAGTTTAGAAACTGACGAAATTTCTTGGGTATCAAATTGGACAAAATGTCATCCTTCAGATAGTTCTGCATTTGCCTATTATCAACACATTATGCCAAAAGATACAGAATTTCTCCAAAAAGAATTAAAACAAAATACAATCAACTTATTCGAATTTCCAGGACATGAAAGTCTCTGGAGTTTTAGAAAATTCCTATTACAATCACTTTCAAAATCAATTTCAGTACCAAGCGGCTGGAAACACATTAATAATATTCATGAAGATTTAATTTTACCCGAACAGCTTTTTGGAAGCCAAATTACAGATGCTTATATAGAGTTAGCTCAGAAATTTGCTGTAAAATTGAGTTTAATTCCAGTAGAATATGATATTCCAGAAAAATCAGAATTTAATTTATTGAATGAAAATCTAATTGTTCAAATTGCATTATCCGATGACTATCCAACAGAATTCCAAGCTCAACAAACAGCAGCAAAGCGATATTTCCGTTGGATCCATGCAATGTTATAATTATTCATTTATCATATCATTAATGACTTATATTAGTTAGTCATATGATGTACCCATGTTTATTCTCCAAAATTTTATTATTCGAGGTTGATATTTTAATATTTAAGAAATATATTGCAAAATAACCATATACATTTTCATACATGTCTTACTTATGTTATTGTCTTTCATATTTGTTGTGTTATTAAACAATTTTAAATTTCCATTTAATATATTTTTAAAAACTCTCAAATACAATTTATAATTACACCATAATCTAATCTAATATCTATGAAATACATAAATTTCATATCAGAACACGAATCTGTTTCTTCTATCGATAGTGTTGAGTATGTTGATGAAATATTATTTACAAAATGGATATGTATTTATTACAAAAACAAAAAAGTATAAAAATCATATTATGTACTATCTAATGATTTATTATAACTTTTTCCCGACCAAAAATATTAACATTTGACCTTAGAAAATCGTGATAAAAATTTTGGATGTCAAAAAAATTGAGAGTATGTCAGAAAGTAGAAGGTGAACCTTTAAATATTTTTGTGATAATGAGTCAAATCTTTGAATCATGATCTTCCTGAAATAATGAATCTATTATCATTGGCCAATATTTCATGTGCTGTATTATAGCATCATTGTAATATAAATTTTTGGCAAAGAATCCAAACTCATTGAATGGACATGAATCAACTTGGACTTGTATAACTTCCATTGATATAGCTGAAACACGCTGATATATAAATGAGCTATTCATTGATAGTAAATGTCCTGTAAAATTAAAAAAAAATTTAAAAGAATTGTAGTAAAAAAGATTAAAATAATTATGATTTACCGACAGAAAAAGCATAAAAAAGGAGTTGGAAAGGGCTGCGTTTTTTAATTTTTTTCCACCGTTTTTTATTAGCATATTCTGGAGAAAATTCTTCAAATGATACATTGATAGTAACAAATTTAGAATAAATATTATAATCATCAATTGCAAAAAATTTTAGAGGACAATTTCCAACATTGATGTCTTTTGAAATAGGAATGAAATATGGAATTTCTTGAGGAGAATCATAGAGACTAATGTTGACAAGATTTCCTTGTGTGCTGTTAAGGTCATGGAAGATTCGAATCTGGCTGTTGCCGTCTTTATCCGATACTAAAAGATAGAATTCAAGATTGTGATATTGGTTGATGTTAATAGGGAATGCTGGCTTTTGGGTGATTTTTATAGATGGGGCGTTAAAATCATAATAAAATATTTCTTGGTTTGAAGAAACACATTTCATAGATTTGTCGCAACAATCAATAAGAATAGGATGATAATCACGTGAAAGACCATCCGGAATAACAATATTGAGGCTGAATTGATGCTTTTGTGAATCTGTAACAGATATTGATTGTGATTTTTGAGTGCTTGGATATCCTTCAATAATTCCTTTGACTGTAACAATGTCATCACAATCATAATCTGATACATATCCGTAAACTGAAATAACTCTGTCATCATTGTGAATGAATCGACGCTTTGCTAGCGGTGTAACTTCAAGAACTGGAAAGTTTCGATTTAATTGGAATTGCTTTGATGTTGGTTTAGTGCTTTCTCCAAGATTTGTAGTTGCCCAAACTGTAACTAAATATTTTTTTCTCTTCTGCAATAGAATCTGGAATTAAACAGGTACCTGAGAAATCAAATGTATATGTTTCTGGGTTTTTATTTGGAATTCCATTGAATGTACTTAAAATACCTCCAATGCTGCATTTAATGGAAAATTCTTCTGAATAAACTCCACTTCCTTGAACTTTGATGTATTTGTCAATAGTTTTGTTGTAATCAGTTTTTTCAAGGTCATTTAAATTGAGGGAAAAAGCATTTAAATATTGAAATTCCGCTGAAACAATATTTGATCGAAGTGTATTTTCGTCCGAAAACTTGGAATAAATTTTGTGGTTTCCAATGGATAATCCACTTGGAATATTGATTGAATATTGATATGTTGAAGATCCACTTGATCTACTAAGTTTAGTCGATGGATAGTTGTCTATCCAAATTTCAAGTGTAAATGATTCTTCTTTATTTTGATCAAAAGAAACTGTTCCTGTGATTGTTGTATCTTGTCTGATTTTATATTTAGTTTTATCTGTGGTGATTTGAGTCAGAGAACAAAACAGAAAATCTGCATAGCAAAGTGCTGTTGAAAAATGTGAATTTTTAATGTTAAATGAACCAGTTGTCGAAATATCAAAATTTGCATTTCCTCGAACTGATTGAGTGTAAGATTTATAAGTATTTGATGGAATAAAACAAGAAGAAACTGTAATAGAGCCATCCTTTCTTGCACAAAATAATGCATACCCTTTGTTATTTAATATAATACAATCTGTAACAGATAGTTTAACATTTGGAGATGCAGAAATAACTCCATTGAAATCTTTTGTAGTTAACGAACATTCATTTGATATGATACTACAACGGTTGATTCGAATTCCATTTTCGTAATTTAATAAACACCTTAAACTGTTAGCAATGTTTTTAACAAATGTCGAAAATGAAACAATTGCATCTAAATCTGTATTACCTGAAATAACGTAGACCGCATTTACAAATGAGGAATTGGAATTAGAAATATTTACATTTCTAACAATATTTTCGGCATATTTATGGTCAATTGGGCCTGAACCTTCGTGGCTTTGTGTAATTGTGGACTCAATTAAGTAATTTTTGTATAATTTATTTTCTGTTGCAGTAATACGTGAATGTGGGTAGTTAATATTACTTTCAAGGTGCATTTTGATGCTGCAAATTCGATATTGAACGGTTTGACCTTGCTGTTGGTATATATTGCCACCCGCTCTATCAGAGCCATAATTGGAATCAAAAACACTGAATGAGATAAGAAGTCGATTGTCGTCATTATCAGTAAGTCTAATAAGTTGCGCGTTGTGATTTGTAAAATATACGTCGTGAACATGAAAATTTCCTGTTCGGCTAACAAGATCTGTGTTTGATATATGATCTGTTGGATTATGTCCGCTGAAAAACTTATTCCAAATATCATTTGCAGAAGAATGAATTCATTGAAGGATAAAAATTTTCAAATGAAAATATCAACTCAGAATTGAGAATAAACGGTTTTTCATTTTGGCTAATAGTATGAAATTCATGAGTCTAATTGTGAGCACAGTAAAATTTGTCTTGCAAATTTTGTATAGCTCACAATTTGAATCTTGATTTCCATCTTTAATTTTATAACTCAGAATATTCGATTATTATATAAAAATATCAATGAATTGTTTTATAATGCTAATGTTCATTTATCCCTAAAATATAAAATAATTCAATATCATATATTAGGCAATGTATCATCTTACCAAGATTAGACGATATTAAAATCTGCGTCTTAATTGAAGTACTAACAATTTCAGCTATTTTGTTGTTTGTTTGCTTGGAATAACTATTCGGCCAAATAACATACGATTATTTTCAACTCAAACAAATTAAAATAAAAAGCTTTTATTACTAGATCAGGTCTCAAAACATATAAAACTTAATATTTGGACAATTATATTTTTTGACAGATTAAAATTTTTCAAAAATGATGAACGAACTCATGCACCAATGTCCTATCACATTTGGATATTCATGTGGTATCATTGCAATGATTATAATCTCATTACTGGGCATTCTTCCTCCGATTTCTCTCGTTTATTATAAAAAAGCAGTTTTTCATGACTTCGAATTATGGAGACTTGTCACAGGCCTTTTTTATTTCGGAAAACCGGACTTTATGATGCTTATTTCCTTGGCGTTTAGGATCAAATTTATGCATACATTAGAAACCACAGTTTACAATCAACGCAAGTCAACATTCTTATTCATTATACTCTTGATGATTATTCCAGTGTACATTTTATCTGACGTTTTTGGCTCATTTTCTAGCGCCTTGTCTTTATCTGAAGCAATTGAAATGCTAGCTGGAAAGTTAATGCAGGCTAACATGCTAATTTTTGGAATTATACCTATACCAATCAGATTTGTACCAATTTTCCAGATTTTCATGTCCGTTGTTCAAAATCAGAGTCCAATCCCAATCATTATTGGAATTTTATCAGGACATTTGGTATTTTATTTATTATATATCTTCCCAGTTATCACAAAGACTCCAATATTTAGGACTCCAAACTTTTTACGCCAACTTCTTGACTAACTTCCTTTTTACCAATTATATACTCTATTTCTTGTTATATGGTTCTTTTTATATATTATAAATAGGCTAAATCGTATGAATTAAATTTTGTCATTTTTTTTTCGTGAATAAGAGGCACTGCATATGAAAAACTTTAGCGTTAGCTAAATTAGAGATTCTTTTTTATAATTAACCTTCAGATTGGAAACTTATTAGGATATTAATTTTATTGAATTCTAATTTTACTTTGTTTGAAAGATCCAATAAATAACTGAAGGGTTTTTGAATATTTGCTGTTCTATTTAAGAATTTAATATCGGAAGATTCCAAAATCTTTAATACTGCATTTATTTATAGATTCCGAGGATTTTTCTTCTATATATCAGTCATATATTGTATTTCAATTATGTTATCATGATCATCGATATTTGAACATTTTGCCATTTTATTCCGCAAAAAATTGAATCGTGGGATCTAAAATGTAACAAAATTATCGATGGAGTGTAGATTGCACAATATCTTTTTACTGATTAGAACTCACATATCATTCATTAACTTAATTTACTCAATTTTAGCAAACCAGAAATACGACCTGCGATCTTTGAGCAGAGTCGAAAATTAAAATCGCAAATTGAGAGCATTTGTAAACGTTCATAATTCAATTTAGCCTAAGAATTTTTGCAAAATGTCGAAGCACTCGATCATGGAATACGTATTAGAGTTTTTTGCATCACCAATGTGGACTGATACAATCAAAGACTTTGTGCTCGAGAATTGCTACATTTTTACAGGCGAAGAAGAGTTCGATCATGAACATTTCAAATGCCATCAACGCTTTTGCAAAATTATAGAGGACACATTAAATATATATCTTCTCGATGTTATTAATGTTTCATTCGATCAGTTCCAAGATGCTTGCTTTAGAACATCCAAGAATCCAAACTCAGTTGGCGGAAGAGTTCTCTCAGTTTTGAAACAAGCAACAGATTTTAGATACTTCGCTGCTAAAATGTACGCATACAATCTTATGTTAGATCGCGAAGCTGCAATTTCATTCGATGTTCAAGGCCCATCTGAGAATGCTTTCTTCGTTACATCAAATGCGACTGCTGCTGATGTCGCAACTACCAACGATGAACTATTATTGGCTACTGACAGCATGCAAAAAGTTGAGAAAGAATTAGGACTCCCACCATCAGCTCCAACACTCAACATTCCTGTTACAGAAGATGCTAAACCACAAGAGAAACCAGCTCCTGCACCGGCCCCAGCACCTTCTCCAGCTCCAGTCCCAGAAACACCAAAACCAGCTCCAGCTCCACTTCCTGCTGTCGAATTACCAAAGCCAGCTCCAGAAGAGGCAAAGTCCGCTAGAACAATATCCCCAATTCCATCTTCTAGCGAGCTTAAGATCAGTGATGCAGAGCGTGAAGCAATGCGTCGCAAGATTCAGCGCGAACGTGAACAAATGGCTAAAACAATATCAGAAGAAGAGATGCAGAAGAGGAAAGAAGCATTCCAAAAGAGAAGAGAAGCTCTCGTCAGCCAAAAGAGACAAGAATGCAAAGAAAATATCGAGCTAAATCTTAAGAAGCACGAAAAACCTGCTCCTGTTGTAGAAGAAGATCCAGACGAGGCTCTTCGTCGTGCTTTGGCTAAGCGTGTTAAAACAATTATTGGTGAATAAAAAAATATAAAAATTTTTATTTGATATTCCTCTTTATTTTCCATATTCATGTATAAAACACTTCATTTACCTTTTTCTTTATATAACTTGAAACAATTTAACAGGTAATTTGTTATATTTGCTTAATTCAATTATTATTCAGGAATGTTTTATGTTACTCATGAAGGAAGTTTTAAGAATCACATAATTGCTTCTATTTTTTGTTTGTAAAAAAAAAAATTAGAAAGTGTGATACATACAAATAATTTAATATGAACACATCTTGAACATTTAATGCATGACGTCATAGCTTGTATTAAATCTTTTTGATATTTCCAAATAAAAAGCAAAAATATTCAATAAATAGTAATTGGGATGTGTTGTATTGGTATATTAATATTGTTTGAAAGAGAATTGATATTGCTTACTTGATCCGTTGTTCAATGATGGAAGGCAAACCCAAATTTTAGCTAAAAGTGACAGGAAAAAAAACGTTTAGTATTAAAAAAAAGACCGATGAGAGCTTCGTTCGAAATATAGAGGGAACTGAGAATGCGCAACCATTCTCAGGGAATATTGGATGCTATTCCCGTTCCCTCTGTATGGAAAATTGAGGTTTTCAAAGGGAGTTAAAATAATATCAAATTTATACTAATTTACTTCAAAATACAAAAGTATTTGACAGCTAAAATTAGTTACTTTAGCAAGCCTATCAATACCCTTTTACGATTATTGTTCCTTTTTCGAAATAAAAGTAAAAACAAATTTATACTAATTTACTTCAAAATACAAAAGTATTTGACAGCTAAAATTAGTTACTTTAGCAAGCCTATCAATACCCTTTTACGATTATTGCTACTTTTTCGAAATAAAATAAATTTATTATCAAAAACCTTTTTTTTCTTAGTAAAAATAAACGAAATTTTTTACCTTATGAACTTTTGATGGAAATATGCAAATTTAAAATAATAAAGAAAGCCGCGAGCGAAGCGATCGGCTTAGTTCGAAGATTTTGATTGAAATCTTTGCTTATATTCCTTAAATTCTTTAATCACACCCTTCACGGGTGTGTCACTTTTAGCTAAAATTACCCCTACTCTATTGAATTTTTGGAACTTTTGATAGAGCACGTTTTTAAATATTAATTAAAGTAAATGTATATTTTGTAAAGATTCTTTTTAATAAAAAATAAAATTTTGAAGAAGAACACAAAATCTTCTGAAAAATAATATCACATAAACTCATATTATTTTCTAATATATAACTATTTTATATAAAAATCAAATTCAATGATCTTAAAAGCGAAGGATAGTAGTATATGAGTGCGGGTTGTGTGACTTTTTTTGTTACATCTATATATAGACGATGCATTAAAATATATTTATTTATAAATCATTAAAAAATTAACATTAATTTTAAAATAATTTATTTTTTATCTTTTATAAAAGAAGCTATATATAGATGATGTCAGATATTCCGCGATTAATTAAACATTGTTTAAATCCTGAATGGGTTAAACTTCAATTTAAAAATGAAGATTGTGAATTATTAAATGAATATGAAAGCCAAAATAAGCTAATGAGGTATAAATATAATGATAAAGAATATTTAATTTCATGGAATCAATGGAGTCATAATCAAAGACCTCATAAACGAGAAGAAGAAATTGAAAATAATGAAATGGAAATCATTGATGACATTAAAGAGGATGGAATTCCTAAATTTTGTAGAAAAACCTTTAGAACTAAGTTAGGAGCATATAAACGTAGAGTATTAAATCCTGAATACATAAAACATTTATTTAAAAAGGAAGACTGTGAATTATTAAACGTTAATGAATATGAAAATGCTAAATCAAAACTGAGATATAAATATATTGGAAGTGATGAAAGGTGTAAAGATAAAGATAAAGTTTATTCAGTTTCATATAATAACTGGCACACGTTAGGGATAAGAAAACATTTAGGAGATTATGGTAAAAGTTCCGAATTCTTCAAATCTAGTATGTACGAGAGAATAAAAGAAATCAGATATAATTATCATTCATGAATGAAAAATAAACTTTAAAAATTCATGTCTTACATTTTTTGAATAATTTATTTTTTTAATTCGTATGAAAATGAGTGTCAAGACTAACGACGTTAAAAAATTGGGATTCACAAACGAGGAAATAAAGGATATATTAGAGGAGGCGAGTTATGAAGTTAATAAATATTATTTAAGAAATTGTCAAAAATTCGCGGAGTTATTAAATGATTTAGATTATGATGGAAAAATGAATAAAGATGATGTTATAAATTTCTTATATCCCACATCTGAAGAAGAAAAACCTAAAGAACCTGATGTTTTCCCTGAATATTATGAAGAACGGATTAAAGATGATGAATATGATGAAATTGAAAGACTGGAAAAAATAAGAGATGAAATAGATGAAAAAATTAAGGAATTAAGAGAAGTTGAAAAATATAATGAGAATGAAGTAGAGGGTTTAATGAATATCCAGCTTCAGAATCAGAAGTTCAAAAATCTCATGAAGAAAGATATAAAAATTACTTTTTGGAATCTACTAAAAATTTATTAGATGGTGAAATAGATGAAACACTTTCAGAAGAAGGCACAAAATTTATTCATAAACATAAGTTTACAATTTATTGACGATGGAGATTATCCATGTATATTACTTTCACCTCCTCTTGATTCTGAAAAATTCAAAAAAGCACTGAAAAATGTAACATATGCAACAAATACGATTAAGAAAGAAGACCATGATATTTACACAAATTATTATTTAAATAAATGTACAGGTGTTGATAAAGTTTTTGATTTGTTAGATAAAATATCAAAGAAACAATTGGTACATATAAAATTTTATGCGATTGTGGTTTCATTATTGAAGATACTACTAATGTTTCATATGAAAGAACAGCACCGAAGGAAGACGAAGTTGAAAGGTCTATACCATTCGTTATTAAGAATATAAAAGATATGAAAACTTATAAACATTATATTTATTCATTTATTTCAGAAAAAATGGAAGCAACCCATAAAACATCATCTCATCATTTTATAGCTATTCATACATTCCTTTTCAAAGTTGTGAAATTAAATAAGACAGGAATTAGATTTAATGTATCAGGGTACGCATTCTTGAGTAAATTAAAATGTATTCGTCACGTCGCGGATGATAAAAATTTATGTGTTCTTAATTCATTTTATGGACTTTAGCCCTGGACTTTAAAAAAATAAACTTTATTTTTATTTATTTTTTTAATTTTTTATTCTTACATAAATGAACAAAAACGGAACAGCTAAAATGAATGATAATCAAATAAGAGCCGAAGGTAGAAGGTTATTTAAACGCTTCTATAACATTCCTGATGGTGTTAATCCTAAAACTCGTAGAAGTTATTTAAATGAAGCCATAGATGCATATGAAGGATTTGACATTTCATCAGAAAGTGAGAGGTTAGCAAAATGTTAAACGTTAATATTGATTTTTATTATTGTGACCCTCACCAGAAGACGTAGACATAAATAAGGTATGACTTTCCATTAGTGGAATCAATAATGATAGATCCAGAATTTGAAACAGTAAATATTTTATTAACACAGAGTCCATGTGGAAAACTTCACGCTGACAGAATTACAGACGTTGAAGCACTCCACAGGATATTAAAGTTTGCCCCTTTTGCAAAGAAGAAGTATATTCTATCCGTGATGACCCAGAAAGGAAAAACCAAAGAAGATTTTTAAAACATTGTGAGAAATGTAAAGAAAATAATGGAAGATTAATTCAAGACGTTCAATTGCAAAACACACAACAACCATATGCACCACATATCACGAAACAGAAGATATATCAATGGCTATTAGCTCACAATTTGCAGGAATATTATAAACCAACAAGATATTATATTACTTTTGACTTCGAAACATTAGAGACTAAAGAAGAACTTCAACTTTCTGAATGTGCAACTTTGAACGCTTACTTAAAACCATTTATGGTATCATCAACTGTCAAAATAAAGCCGCAAACGGACTCTTTGAGTCCTGAAGGTCTTTCAGACCGAAGCGGCAAGGTCGTAGACCGTGATAAAACATTTACGAGGAATTTTGCTTAACATCAAGTGATTCGTTCATCTCTGATTGGATTGAATTTTATTTTCAACCTGTTCATTAGTTGCTAAATCAAATATTGAACAATATGAAGAATTAATGAAGCCGCAAACGGACCAAACGGCGGGGACTTTGTCCCATACATTAAATGAAAAACAGAAGGAAGCGTTTAAAGAACTTCTAGATGAGGAATTCAATAAAGTGAATATCATAGGTTTTAATTCGGGAAAGTTTGATTTAAATTTAATTCTTCGTGATTTAAATACTGCAAAATGGAAAATAAAATCAATGCTGGGTTCTTCTTCACAATTTAAGCAAATCATTGTAAAGAAAACAAACTGTCCATATGAATTAAGATTTATTGACATCAGAAATTATATAGCGGGTGGAACATTAGACCAATTCACTCAAGATTTCGGAAACAATAAATCACGTGTTAAATCCTTTTTCCCTTATCAATTCATCACGTGGGAAAATTACGAAGAAGAATTATATAAAGAGGAACCATTCACGAAAGATTCATTTTATTCAGCATTAACTCAAGAAACTATATCAGATAGTGATTATCAAATATATCTCTTCATACCATACGATAAATGATTCATTTAAATAACTTAAAATTGTGTTAATATCCCCCCTCACTATCACATTATTTATATACATATCATACGTTTTTAGGTCTACGACCCCGCCGCTATGCGGCTCATGGTCATCTTTAATAAATGATATATAATCTGAAGGGTCTAAAAGAATGGGATTAAATTTACCACTCACAGAAACGAGAGTAACATTATAAATTCCGCTAACTGTTAAATTTAATTCACAGTTATTATTCGAAATAATATTGATAATTGACATTTTTTTATTACGATTAAAAATATGGTAAAGCGTTATTTTCCAGTGATAAATAAAACTAGAATAAGATTACCTCAAGAATTCATAAATTCAACGAATAAGAAATTCATTCATGTTATAAATTTTAGTGTTTTCAGAAAATATGAGTCAGTGTCATATTCATCAACAGGTTATATTTCACTTCATTCAAATTTAGTTCAATCAAACCCATATAATGACCATTTCATAAGATTTTCAGATGGTATTAAAAATGCAATTGATAGATTAAAATATGAACAGATTGACAATATCGAATTTTTGGAATTTTGGTTTAAATATCCTGATGGAAAAAAGATTGAAGTTAAAGATAAAGCTGATACTATAACAAAAACAATTACAATGACCGATCCAGATAGTGGGGAACAAAAAGAAATAAAACAAACGATAGAAACTGGTGAAAGGTCAATTATTATTGATTATGATTCAAAGGATTATTATTCGATAATGTTAATGCTTGAATATTAAATAGCCTTAACAAAGAATTTTTCAAGTGATATTTTATATTCATCAACTATTTTATTATAAATATCATTATATGTTAAATGAAGTTCAGTTGTTGTTCCGTTCTTTGATATCTTAATTGTGCTAATATCCTTTATAGGATTTATTTTTGCAACTGTTCCGCAGCATGAAACCTCATCATCTATGAAAAATTGAATTTTAACGTCTGAATCTTGAACATCACAAAGAATGGCGATAATGTGAATTAATGATTCATAAGGTAAAATAATTAAACCGGATTGGTCAATTAAATTTATTATTGAATCATAATTATCAGTTATTATATCACGGTAAATTTTCATTAATTCAGAATTAATGTCTATTTTATATGGCGCATTGCGACTGTAATCGTAGATTCCTGGGTTATCAAGTGGTGCTGGGTATGTTGGATAAGTGGGAATTTCAACAGGTTCTTTACCAGGTTCAGATAAAATGATTGGGTCTCCATCTTCTTTATTTTGCTCTTCCTCATTCTTCGGTAAGTCACGAGTTAATAAATTTGGTTGAGTTGCTGACCTTGTTAATTCAGGACTAACATTAACTTTAACATTTTGAATAATTCGTGATTTATCATCATTTACGTTATAACCAACCGTAATCTCTGCTTTTGCGTTAGTGTTCTTTTGACTAGTGAAACGTCTTCTCATTTATATTCGAATAAAAAAATATATTTAAACTTTTATTTTGCTGGAACTTTTGAATCTATTATTTCCTGTATTTGTTCATGAAGTTGATTTTTAGCATTTTCATCGAAATTAATAGACCGAATATATTCATTAATTGCATTCTTATAATCATTTGATTTCTCAAATTTTCTTTTATCTGATTCCTTAACTAAATCATAAGTTAAACCTCGTTGCTGATATAATGGTTTCTTAATTAAATCTTTGAATGCTTGAGATAAAGCACCTGATGCAATTCTTGCTACTATAATTGGTTGGAATTGCTGTTTAAGTTCATCTTTAACATTTGCGAAAACTGGATCGAATAAAGCAACTTTAAAGAATTTCTTAGCTGGAATTTCAGATCTCAAATTTGCATATTGACCATCAAACTGGTTAGAATATCGTGGTAATCCATCCGGTCCCTCTTCAATAGCATTTAATTCTTCATTGAAGTAAGAATATGGATTATGACGGTATGAATTAATTGGACCATTTTCACCTTCTCCAATGTATTGTTTAACAGCTTTTCCATTTTCATCAAATTGCATAGGATAATGTTCATTATATGCTTTACGTTTAGGATAATCCGTCATTGTTAATTTATACCCATTTATGACTTTAATATTTCCTTGACCATCAGTAACAAAGACTTCATTTATTCCATCAGGTTTTCCATTTGGACCCGTAATGTCTGCTTCGTGTGCTTCCCAATTTGGTCCGTGACGTTTGGCATATGCTTGAGCTTCTGGTAATGTTAAAACGTTTCTCATTTGTTTAACATCCTTTTGAAGACCGGCAACAATGTGGACTAATTCTTTCATTCCGTCTGGAACTTTCATAGTTCTATTATATGCACCCTTTTTGTTTGTTCCTTGTTTTAATGGAACCTGTAGAAGATTTGCTATTTCTGTCATGTTTAATTATAAATAAAAAATAAAAATTAATTATAAAAAGTTATTCGAATTTAATGGAACCTTTATTTAAATCAACTATTATTTTTCCATGTTCTCCTAATTGTTGATATTGTGTGTAAAGTTCATTAATGCTCATTGGTAAATTCACTTGATAAAGCAAAACGTTCAACTGTTGACGACTAAAACCACTGAAAATGAAAAGGGTGGACATGTTTGATTTAATGTTTGTGCTTAATGCTTTGAAGTATTGAACAGCCATGAAGAATGAACACTGAATGTGTCGACATTGAGTTAATAACTGATTAAAATATGATTTCTCATTTGTTATTAGTTTTGATTTCACCGCATCATCTAGAAAAATGAGTGAATGCAAAAATTCTCTATCAAAATTTGAAATAGAAAGTGTTTCAAATAATTCATCTCGTTGTTTATCAATAATTTTATCCTCTAATCCTTGCTTCTTGATTGTATTATATAATTCTTTATACATTAAAAAGTTTTTTAAATAATCTTCTGCTTCTTCTTGTGATAAATAAATAATTGGAATTTTGATTAAATGCTTTAAAGATTCAAATGTATCATCTGAAGGTGAACCTGAACGGTTGATATAAATTAACACATGTGAATAGGGTGAAGTGTTAGCAATAATGATAATTTGTTTTAATATCGTTAATGTTTTACCTTTATTTTGTTTACCAATTGCTGCAGTGATTGAATTTAAGTAACATTCAGAATATGGAATTTTCATTAATTTTTCCTTAGATAGAGCATTTCTATTATCACTCAATGCTTCATTAATCATATCATCTACGTATGTATTATATACTCCTGCTAATTCTTCATAAGGGGTGGATGAATTTAAATCCATTTAATCAAAAATAAATTTATAATTTTATACATTTCTATTCATCAATATTTCATCATATGAACTTCTATACTGCGGTGGTGTACCTGTTGGATGATATTTCAAACCTTCATCCGGTGTCCATGTCCAATATGTAGTCCTAGTAAACCAAACCTGAGGAGGATTTGTCACTTTTGAACAGTAAGTGTCATTTTCACCCTGAATGATTGGATAAGCTTTCACTTGTACTGTAACTTGTGAGTTGAAAGTTTCTAATCCATCAAAGAATATACCCGCTCCATCACGTTGAACTGGAATAGTGCATAAGAATGAAGTTTGGTCTTTCCATGTTCTAGCTAATGGCGTGCCATCATCATCATTCAGTGGTCTAGTTAATGAGTCCTCGTATTCTTCCGTGCATTCATTCACTCCATCTAAATCAGAAGCTTGAAGCATACGTGTAAAGAATATGTCGCCCACTGTGGTCATCGCTTGATCGGGGAAGTTTCTGGAATCTATAGTGACCTGAAGACCTCGAAGCATTGGATTTTCTAAAACCGTTCTTTGCATTGCATTCTTCGGAAATGTTAACACAACATCTGTAACATTATGAAGAGCGTATGAGAAATCTGAGCTGATACCTTCAGGAGTGATGCAACCTCCATTTAGTGAACGAACGTCAATATGTTGAGCTGGAATCATGAATGGATCTTCCTTACTAAATAAACGTGGTATTGCTTTAACTGATTCTTCAATTAAACCGTATCCTGGTGTAATGCATTTATCCTCTAAAACTTCCATCTTTGTGCATGAAATAATAACGTCTTCAACTGTTGCGTCAGCAGATGTAGCGGCTAAGCTTGTAATTAATTTGGCAGGAAGTCCGATTTGTTGGAATTTGCGATCATATTTATAAACATGATTCATAATCTTTTCATAATTTTCATCAGTTATCTTTTCATAAACATAATTTTGTAAATCAGCAACTCTTAACGGGTCAACCTGACAAAATACTAAAGTATCCCTGAAAACATAATATTTAAGAATGATTTCACCAAATGATTTAGGATAATCATCGAACGCCTGAAATGCTAACAAATCATTTACCGGAATAATCATATCAAAAGTGACATCAACTTCTTCATTTGCTTTCTTGAAAACTTCTGAAGGGTCAATATATTTACCACATACTGAGTTATCATATTTTTGAACATTATTATATAACGAATGAACAAACTTTTTAACTTTCCTTTCTGATTTTGGTTTATATGTTGCAAATGCGAAAGATTCACGGGCGCAATCCATCTGAAGATAACCAGCATCACCTCTTTCGGTTTCTACTTCTAATTGCTTAAAGCTTTGATTTGATGATTTGTAACCAACGAATAAACGCATGCATTTAAAAGCGGCATCACATGTGAAAGCTTTATTTGAAACTAGAGTTGCTTTAACTTTGCGTTTAATATATGTGTCACCTAATTGGTTCACATCATGAGCTGATTTGTAATTCTTAAATGAGTTTGTTTATCATCAAAATATGGAGTATCAGAGTCATAACATGAACTTTCAAGTTCTCTATAATATCTTCTTCCGTCATTCTTTGCGAATATTTCATTTATCTTTTCGAATGAATGAAACACATTTCCATTAATCGGTTTGTGTTTGGCACTAAATAGTTAGTCGTCATTTATTATTAAATAAAAAATCAAAATTAAAAGATGAAAATGAATTTTTAATTTTAATGAAATAATCAACTATGGCTGCAGGATTCTTTAAGAAACTGTGGGATAAAGTAAAAAGAGGAGCGCATAAAGTTTGGGAAGGGATTAAGAAAGGAGCAAATTGGATATTTAAGAATAAAGAAGCAATTAGTGACGTTGCTGAATCAATAACGCCAAAAGCTGCCCCAATAAGAGAAATTTTAAATAAAGGAGAAAAAGTTTATCAAAGACTTCAACCGATACTAAGATAAAAATAATATTTATTTATTTTTCCACTAACCACCTCCTATTTTATTAAGTATTCCTTCAGCTATTCCACCAATTGCGTTACCTGCTTGTGCTCCCATCGCCGGATTACCTGCTTTAGTACCTAATACTCCACCTATGATAGTTCCTGCCGTTTTCGCTACTGGTGCCAAAAAGTTAGCAACAGGTTTAATAACCTTTTTATAAACCCAACCTGCAGCTTTCTTAATTCCATCCCATAATTTTTTAAAGAATCCTGCCGCCATTTCTGATTTAATATTAATTAAAAAATATATTTCATCACTTATATTCTAATTTTTATTTAATGATAAATGAAACCGATTTTAAAAATAAATGAAACAAAGGAGGAAGAAATAAATGAAAGTGAAAATGTTCAACAAAAAATAAACGTTGTTAAACCAATTACTGAAATAAAAATTTTTTCATCTGTTGATGAATTTAATGACTATTATGCTAATAATAAAAAATTATTTGAAGAATTGACAACATGTAAATTGAATAAAATGTTTAAAGTTGAGGACAGAGTCCAAGACCCGGAGGGTCATGGATTCAAAATTTCAAAAATAAAAGGTGTTGTTAGTTTAAAATCTATTCCTCAATCAAGAATCACCTCATTAATGAAAATTGATGATTTAACAAAAAGAATAGAAATTATTGAAGAAAGAATGAATCAAATAATTGATTTCATAAATCATGACTCGTTGAGCCCGGGTCCTTAAAGCCCAGGACTTAAAGTCCATCACTGAGTTCAAGGTTATATTCATCAAATATTTCATTATTAAATGCAACTTCTGCTAGTTTATTTATTTTTTCAATACGATCATTTGAAAGTCTATCGTTTAATTTTTTCTGAAGTTTTTCATTTTCTAGTTCTGAAACTTTATTTGGATGATATTTAAACCCGTTAAATTCTTTTTCCTCAGTTTTGATTTAGCATTTTCATATTCATTAACGTTTAATAATTCACAGTCTTCCTTTTTAAATAAATGTTTTATGTATTCAGGATTTAATACTCTACGTTTATATGCTCCTAACTTAGTTCTAAAGGTTTTTCTACAAAATTTAGGAATTCCATCCTCTTTAATGTCATCAATGATTTCCATTTCATTATTTTCAATTTCTTCTTCTCGTTTATGAGGTCTTTGATTATGACTCCATTGATTCCATGAAATTAAATATTCTTTATCATTATATTTATACCTCATTAGCTTATTTTGGCTTTCATATTCATTTAATAATTCACAATCTTCATTTTTAAATTGAAGTTTAACCCATTCAGGATTTAAACAATGTTTAATTAATCGCGGAATATCTGACATCATCTATATATAGCTTCTTTTATAAAAGATAAAAAATAAATTATTTTAAAATTAATGTTAATTTTTTAATGATTTATAAATAAATATATTTTAATGCATCGTCTATATATAGATGTAACAAAAAAAGTCACACAACCCGCACTCATATACTACTAAGGATAAACCTCAAAATTTACGAATATAATGAGTGGGAATATAATGCTTATCTATCATAAAACCATATGAAATATTAATTTTTGCTTTACGCCTAATTTTTGACGACAATTAGCAAAAAATGTTAAATGTTAACACTCAGTCCATTTGAATATGAAAAATAAAATTGACTTTGATTAAATGTTTTTATTTATCATGCAATTCTTCTTGCGACCAAAGATTTGAATAAAAGTTCAAAAAATAAGATAGCTTAAAAAATAATATACGGTAGTGTTTACTAATAGATGAATAGTATATAAATTCTATTAAAATGGATTTGATCCAAAAAAATATATAAAATTTGATCATAAATAAAATCGTTTTAAATTACTTCTTCATTTAAATTATAACAATTATTTTTGGTTTTATATTTTTTTGGATCAAATCCATTTTAATAGAATTTATATACTATTCATCTATTAGTAAACACTACCGTATATTATTTTTTAAGCTATCTTATTTTTTGAACTTTTATTCAAATCTTTGGTCGCAAGAAGAATTGCATGATAAATAAAAACATTTAATCAAAGTCAATTTTATTTTTCATATTCAAATGGACTGAGTGTTAACATTTAACATTTTTTGCTAATTGTCGTCAAAAATTAGGCGTAAAGCAAAAATTGATATTTCATATGGTTTTATGATAGATAAGCATTATATTCCCACTCATTATATTCGTAAATTTTGAGGTTTATCCTTCGCTTTTAAGATCATTGAATTTGATTTTTATATAAAATAGTTATATATTAGAAAATAATATGAGTTTATGTGATATTATTTTTCAGAAGATTTCATTCTATATGCCTATGAAAAGTACTCTCAAAACTAACTTTTTCCTAATTATAATTAAATCTAGAATATTGTATTATGCTTAGTATTATTTCATTTTTCTCATTCAATTTAGAATTTACAAATGTCAAAAAATTGAGAGCGGTCACTTTTGATGAATTTCTGTTTATTACAATAAGAGTTGACAATTAAGCATGTACGGGATATATTTTTTTATGAAAAATAAATTACAAAAAAATAAGATTTTAGTAATTATTCCACATTCACACATTGGCAAATACACCAAAATGCACTGGCAATGAAATAAAATGTCAATTTAGGAAAACTATTGGAAATTTATCGTGAGATTTTGAAAATAAATAAATCATTTATTCACAATATTCTTTATAGGAGTTATTATTTATATTCTGTTAGCTTTTCATTGTTGTCAGTATTAATAATTTTTTGATAATTTTGAGAGCACCCGTAATGACAAAACAATCAAATTTTATAAACTAATAATTTTTTTGACAGTATGCTATACATTAAATTTAATTTAGATGAATGAATTTTGTGATAATAAAATTAAAAACCGACAACTTTTGAAATGGTACGAAGAAGACACTTGTCCTCCGATGAATTCATTATCAATACAATTACTAAACAATTTCCCAAACTATAATTCTCTAAATTTTGAGTAAAGTCATTCAAAAAAATAATTCACTAGTCTCATCACACTTTTCAATGCTCGATTTTTAAAAACCCTTTAAAAATGGAGCTTATATTGAAATAGTGTAGAGACTAAAAATTACCACAGATAGATCGCTAAGGTAAAATCCTATTAAATATGTTTTTAAGTATATTCTTATTATCTCCCATAGTTTTGATCAATTTCAAAATATTGTGAGCCTATCTTTTATTTAATGTATTCAAATTGAACTAATTTTATAGAAATAAGTGCATTTCACATCCCACGTCCAATACTCTAAAATTAGTAAAGTAGTGAAAATTCATAAGTCAATTCATTAGGATAACTAGCCTTTCTTATATTTTACATGATGGTTAGAAATATAATAATATCAGGGAAAAATTCTATTTGGCCAAATTTATTGAATTCAATTTTTTGAAAAATTCAATGCCTCGCAAATATACGTTTTATTTTTTAAAGCGAACAAAGTTAAAATTTTATCATACTATACTAACAATTAATATTTCCTTACATTTTTTGATCTCAAAATTTTGAATGAGATTTGAAGTTTTTATAGACAGTATTTTCAAACATGGCTGAATCTTCTGTTTCCAAGTCAGTTTCCGCCACCAGTCAATCGCGGGAGAAATTCTCAGACATAGTAACAGCAAAGGGAAATGTTCTCGACAAAGTTTTCCCTCTTTTCGAACAGATGATTCAACAAGTTAAACTACCAGCTTGGATTATGGGAATTGTCATGTTCTATCTCCTATGCCAAACACTCTCCATTTGTTTCTGGGTTTATACACCTGTTTATCAAAAAACAACTCAGCCGTGGACAAATGTTAACAAATATTTTGTCCAAATATTCGCATTTATTGATCCGGTTGATTACAGCACATCAATACAGATATGGATGATTGTAGATATCGCAATTGCAGTATTTTCTATACTTTGGATCTTATTCACATTATATCTTAATCATTTGTTTTATACAATTTATGTTCCGGTGCTATACATTTCATTTATTCTCATTGATATTGTCGTTCCAATATTGATAGTCCCATCAGCTTACGTAGCGGCGCATGGAATTGTTGGACTTAAAGGTCATTCTGGAATTGTTGGACTTAAAGGTCATTCTGGAATTGTTGGACTTAAAGGTCATTCTGGAATTGTTGGACTTAAAGGTCATTCTGGAATTGTTGGACTTAAAGGTCATTCTGGCATAGAATATGTTTTGGAAATAGTTCTTGGATTAGTTGCATTCGCAGTTTACACCTGCGTCTTCTTACTTAGCTCCATTCTTAAGGCAAGATCAGTTGTTTTATCTAATTTCTCCTTCCCAATGTTCGAATATGATGCAGTTACAACATGGATCCTTATTACAGCAGCTTGTGCCGTACTCTCAGCTATTTTCAACTACTTCGATAGCTGGTTTTACACATTAGGTTGTATTATTCACATTTTAATCACAGTTTATGTACAACTTCGTATCTACTATCTTCCTTTCTATGATCTATGGCGCAACGTTCTCATGATGGCCTTCTGTTTAGCAACAGTTGTACTTAATATAAATTATTTCGTCATCGCATATGTCGATAAGTTCAAATTCAACTACACAATATTTGTATTCATAATAATATTGATATTGGGCTATATAGGTGGTACAGGTGCCATTACAAAAGTTTCAGGAGATTTCAGAAAAGCATTAACATACCAAGAAGACGTAACAAATGTTCCTGAATACTTAGATTCACTCAAGATCAATAAGAACTCACACCAAGCTAACATGTGGATCATTGTTGGTTTAATCTTTAACAGTGATTACTTTGTTGATGGTTCTTTAACCGATTACTGCCTTAACTGCCCCAATTTGGATGGAGCTCTTTCAATGTTACTCCAAGTTGTCACATTATTCCCATTCGAGTCCCGTAAAATGGATGTTCTTTTCAAGAGAGTCATTCAGAAGCATAAACTCGGTTTTAGCGACAGATTCTTGATCTACCAATGCTTCAGAATCAAGATGAAGAGATTAGTTTCAGATACAAAAGACACTCTCGAGATGTTCAACAAGCTAAAGAACAAGAATGAAGTTTGCAAGAACACAATCAAAGCATTTTGGGACAAGAATGAAGCTCATTCAGCATATATCTCAAGTTTGAGCCTTCTTGTTAATGATTTAGATCAATTATTCAAAGCATCATTAATGAGCAATCCAAACAACTTGAGACTTATTACAGAATACTCCAATTTCTTGGCAGAATGCAAAGGAGACTTCGATAATTCAATCAAGGAAAGTATCAGAGCAGAATTGATTGGTGATGGAAAGAACTTCAATGTTGATGTTTCCTTTAGATCTTTGGTCAACAAATTCCCAAGATATCTCAAGGACAAAGTCTTAGATGCAAAAGGACACAAAATTCTTAAATCAGGAAAAGAAGCTAAAAGTGGAAGCCAGAAATCAAGTTCTAGCGCTAATTCTGGTTCTACAGGTGCAAGTTTCGATTCAAATTCTGTTGACTTTGAAAGACAAGAAACAGTTTCAAAGAAGATATTGAGAGATGCAAAAGTTAGATTGGCATTCCATCATGGTATTCAAGACACAAGGCCTTGGGAATATAATGCAATTATTATGCATATAGTTGCTAGTACAGTTATCATCCTTGTTGCTTATATTGGCTTCTATGCATATGTCAGAATCAACATGAAATGGAGAAGATATGGTTACAAAGATCTTTCTACTATCGGCTATGCAACATTCTACACAATCTATGCTAATGTTTACACAATGTCAAAGTTCGCTGCTGACTCAAATAGAATAGATCCATCAGGAAAAATCCTTGGTAACATTTCTATCGATGATGTTGTTGTAGAAACATTGATTCCATTAGATATCTCACTTCCAATGAAGACATATGTTTGCATGAACAGATCTCGTTACTACCTTGGCTCATTGTTAAATAAATTGGCGGATAAGGCTCTTGAAGGCGACGATCCTTATGATATCGCTTACGTATTAATTCAAACAAACTCTACATTCAAAGTTTGTGATCAAGCAAGTCCAGTTTACGCGATCAGAGCAAGTTTAAAGGCGGAATTAATTGTTTTCAGTTACTTGCATAACTATATTGCTGGTTTGTACAATGAAAACAAAATGCCAGCAAATCTTTATGCATCCAATGATTATTGCCAGATTTTGTCAAATATCCCAACCATTTCAGAAAACGCCGATATAACATTCCATTCAATTCTTAATTACCATATTGATAAAGCAAATTATTATGATGGTATATTCATTGCTTGGCTTGTATTTGGCTTAGTTGCAATGGCAGTTATTTGTGGAATTCCACTTTTCGTCATTGGTTTCTTATACAACAGAAGAATCACAAAGATGTGCCAGATTTTGCATCAATTACCTCCACCTGTCAAAGAAGATGCCAGAAGGGCATTGATGTTGAATCAAGATCTCAACAGTGAAAACAGTGCAGGAACAACAGAAGTCAAATCAGCATTCTTAGTTGTAATAAGAATCATTTATTATATTGCTTTAATTGCTTGTTTGATTGTTTATGCTTTGTTTGTTATCACAACAACAAAACTGAACTCCAATCTTACAAAGCTTCTCAGATGGTTCTTCTATTCATGCCAGAGAATCACACTTGCTTCACAATGCGGTAACAATGCTATTCAGATGATTTTCTTGAATGGATCATTACCACAAACAATTGTGAACACATCACAGTTAAGAGATAATGAGATTTCAATGCTTGACAAGTTCATGGACTCAGAAAGAATATTATTATATGGTAATGACGAAGTTGAAGGCAGTGTTGGCTTCGATGAAGAGTTGGATCACTTGCATCTTGAAAGTTACTGCGATTTAGGAAGAGAACCAAAGTCAATACATGATATGTATGCATGTGGTTCTTTGGATGCACAAATTCAGATGCTTAAGTTCTTTGTCGATGAAGTTATTAAGAACTTAAAGTTCTTCCAAGGAAACATGATGAGTGAAGTTGCTGCAAACTATGCACACATTTTGCGTTTCCACTTCTATCCAAGTGTTATCAGAGCAACAAAGAGAATTTCTCATATAATGAAAACCACATATGATAACACAATGACAAAAAACATCATTTTCCTTGCAGCAGGATTTGTTTGTTTGATTTTTATTTTTGTATTACCATGGTTCTTCAGAAACGTCATGATTCAGAATTACCGCATTTTCTTGATGCTCTTGAAACATCTTCCAATGCAAACAATCATTGATACACCAGAAATCCTCGAGTTCTTCACAGGCAAGAAGAAAGCCAAAGTTGAAAGAATGTCAACATCAAAGTCAATTGTTTATGGTGCAAGTGAATGCATCATTATCACAAACGCTTCAAGTGTTATTGAAATCATCAATAACTCTGTTACAGCAAACATCGGTTTAACTCCAGATCAAATGCTTGGTCAGCAATTTGCCAATTTCGTTGGTACTGATGATCAACAGCGTCTCAACCAACAGATTGATATGATGACAAGTGGACAAGGATCAGCATTCTGGGAAGACCATCTTACTTTGTTAAATGATAAGAATGATTTCGTTCCATTCACAGTTAACTTGATTGGAATGAAAGATGAAGGTTCAAATGAAATTAAGAGCTTCGTTTTCATCTTAAGAAACGAAACAGAAGAGATCCAGAAGAGAAAGGCAGCAGAAGAAGCTAAAGCCAAATCAGAGAAGTTGTTGTATCAGATCTTACCAAAGGATATCGTTGTAAGACTCAACAGAGGTGAAACAGATATTTCATTCACAATTCCATCAGCAACAATCTTCTTCATTGATATTGTCAAATTCTCCAATTATGCTGCAACATTAACACCATCAGAAATCATGGCAAACCTTTCATTGGTGTTCGCAACATTTGATAAGATTGTTGCCGAATATCCAATCATCACAAAGATCAAATTAATCGGTGATGTTTACATGGCAGCTGCTGGTCTTTTCTGCACAGAAGAAGATGATCCAAAGAAACATGCAGAAGATGCATGCAGAGCTTGCTTGAGATGCCAGAAGGCCATGGAAGACATCAATGTTAAACTCAGCGCTTCTCTTGAAGTCAGAATTGGTGTCAACTCTGGTGGTCCACTCATTGGTGGCGTTTTGGGTTCTGATAAGCCAACATTCGATATCATTGGTGATCCAATCAATGTCGCTGCTCGTCTCCAGAGTACAGATATCCCAGGATGTGTCCAAATTTCTAGTGAAACAAAGGATTTGATCGAAGGTTTGGACTTCATCGTTGAAGAAAGAGGTCAAATTTATCTCAAAGGCAAAGGTGAAAGACTTACTTACTTCGTTAACTTTGCAACTAAGTCTGACCAAGAAGCCTCATTTGTTATGGCTCTTAATTCTACAACTGAATAATTATAATTGTTTTATATTTAAACTTTATTATTCATGCTTTTTGATTAATCATTTTACATTTTTATGACTTGTTATAGAAATATCCTCTTTCCTCTGAGCAAAGAATAAGATTAAGTTGTATTTTATCTGATTTTGAATTATTATGATTGGAGAATCATTGGAATTAATGCCATCATGGAAAAATCTCTATTTGATAAACTATTTATGAAATGACTAATTATATTTCTGATGATATTTTTCTTGAGATCCTTTTTGCGATCAATTGCAAAATAAATGAAAATGCATTCTATAAAAATGTATTTTAAGAAAAAGGATATAGACAAATTGTAAAAGAAAAAAGGAATTTTGCATAATCAGATTGGAATTTCTATTTCTTGTCAAGAAAGTATTGTATTAAGCTAAAATTTTAATTGATTATATCAATAATAACCTGTATCCAATGAAGCCATATTAGTTATTCTGGTGTTGGGTTATTTTGTAATGTAAAATTTGACAGTGCAATTATTTTGTCAAATTGCTCAATTTGCGGTTATCGCCTTAAAGCGCGTGTTCGTTCTCGACTAGAAAATAGTGCCCATATAGTTAACGAATTTTAACTCCTGTAATAAAACATTCAATAAACTCTTAAATTCACTGAAAAAATAAATTGAATACTTTTATCGTAATTCCTTAAAAAATAACTCATTCAAAATCCTTACAATGATGTTTTCTTCTTTGTTCATCAGAAAAAACACATATGGCTATGATACCACGAAGATAAGTAAGTATTCAGAGAATCTAAATAGAGGTGTTGTCGCCGTGCGTGCAGGAAACAAGGCTTTTATTTCATGGAGATTTTTAATTACTGACGATGATGATATTGCTTTTAATGTATATAGAATAGATGAGAATGAAACTATTCTTAAATTAAACTCAGATCCTATTACAAACGTAACACATTTTTATGACACAAAACATGATAAAACCAAATCTTTCAAATACTTTGTTGGCTCAATAATTAATAATATAGAAGTAGAAAACAGTTCATATTTCGAGTTAAAGGCTAATCAGGCAGATCTTCCATGTATTAGAATTCCAATCCGAAATGGAACAAGGTTTAGAACTGTGTGGGTAGGTGATTTAGATGGAGATGGAAATCTTGACTTTGTTCTTGCTATAGATGCTGATGAAATTCAAACTGTTGAAGCATATTTACACAATGGAACTTATCTTTGGACATTAAATCTAGGTCCTAATAGTATTAATAAGTATATGATCGAACCAGGATCAACAACTGTTAATGTTGGCCAAATTGACGGTATAAACATTTATGATTTAGATGGTGACGGGAAATCTGAAGTTTATATTCGAATTGCAAACAATTTCACGTTTGGCGATGGATATGTATTCACTCGTGATAATGATATAGATCAATGGATTGCTTGTGTCGATGAATTGACAGGTAAATTATTACAAAAAGCAAAACTTCCGAACTTTTTCCCACAATATGGTCCAATGGGTACTTTGTTTGGTGTTGGTTGGCTGTCCCTTGAGAAACCATCTTTAATAGTTGTATTCAAAAACAGAGATGATAAAAAGAGATTTTACAACTATGTTGCAGCTTTCTCATTCACAAACAACATGTTTAAGATGGATTGGAACTGGACAGATTCATATCAACCTGATATTAACTATCCTGAAGGTCATCACTTTAGAATTGCTGATGTTGATTTTGATGGAATTGACGAAATCCATGAAATCGGTTATGTTCTAAATGGAAATGGAACAATCAGATTTAATCTTGGAACGCAAAGAATTATTCATGGTGATAGATTCTATGTTGCAAAGTTTAATAATGAAGATACAACAATGAGCGGATATGGTATACAACAAAATAATCCTGACTTAATTGATGAGTATTTCTATAATGCTTCTACTGGAGAAATGAAATGGATTCATTATGGAACAACAGTTCATGATGTTGGAAGAAGAAATGCTGGTGATTTCGATCCAACTGTTCCAGGATTAGAAGTCTTTTCATTCCAAGGAATGTACAATGCAAAAACGAATACAAAACTTGCTGACAATTTTACAAATACATTTTGGCCAAGTAATAATGTATATTGGGATGGAACATTAAATCCTGCTTGTTATGATAGAGGACATCTTAATAAATGGAATTACAAAACTAAAAGAGGAGATCGTTTATTCACAGCTAATTACGATTTCAATAAATATTATGGACAATTTCCTGCTGAAGATGAAGGTGGTCATTATCCGCTGTTTCATGGAGATATACTTGGAGATTGGAGAGAAGAGTTCATCATGGCAGCTTCCAATTTTAGCGAGATCGTTATATTTACAACAAATTTAGACACTGATATCAAAATGACGACATTATGGCATGACCCTGGAATGAGAGCATCAATGACATTGAATGGATATAAACAAAGCCATATATGCCATTGGAATATATCGGAGCAGAATCAAATTTGACTGAAAATAGAAGGCATCTCAAAGAATATCATAAATTAAGGGCAGAAAAATACCTGCTCAAATACCTTCACCAACAATTGAATACTCAAGCAGCTCTTCATCAACAATTACAAACAACGTAACTCAAAGTCCTTCTGATAAGAGTGATTCAAATAATACATCGAAGAAAACTGCTGCAATTGTAGTTCCTTTAGTTATTGTGATTGCATTGATTGCTATTGCTGCATTCTTCGTATGGAGAGTTTATAAAATTAGAAAGCAAAATAGGGATGATATAGTTGAATCAACATTAATTGTATAATTTTATATTTTGTTTTAAATATATATTATTTTCGATTTCAAATGTTTTATATTGTTTAAAGCATATTGGATTTTCTCTGTGGAGGCGCGTAATTGCTTTTATGAATGAATGATTTCAAAAATTATTTAATTTTTTTTTTGACTAGCTCCTGAATTGGGATCATAAAATCACAATTTTATATTGAAATGCTTGAATATTTAGTGCTCGTATATCATTCATATGTCAAACGTTTAAAATTGATTGTTAATGAAGGATACTGAAGCTATTTATAATTCAAAATATGAGTTTCATGAGTAGTGTTATTAATGATCTTATATGAAGACAGCATCTGGTAAACGAATTTTGGAATATTTTAGTTTGAATTTTGACGGCAAACCCAAATTTTAGCTAAAAGTGACAGGAAAAAAAACGTTTAGTATTAAAAAAAAGACCGATGAGAGCTTCGTTCGAAATATAGAGGGAACTGAGAATGCGCAACCATTCTCAGGGAATATTGGATGCTATTCCCGTTCCTTCTGTATGGAAAATTGAGGTTTTCAAAGGGAGTTAAAATAATATCAAATTTATACTAATTTACTTCAAAATACAAAAGTATTTGACAGCTAAAATTAGTTACTTTAGCAAGCCTATCAATACCCTTTTACGATTATTGCTACTTTTTCGAAATAAAATAAATTTATTATCAAAAACCTTTTTTTTCTTAGTAAAAATAAAAATGTTATTTTATATCAAGTTTTTATTCATAAATTTTTATAATGTTGTATAAATTTCATTAAAATTTACGTACATATTAAGGTACTTATCTTAATAATGAAGATTTTATTTTGCAATAATATAAACGAAATTTTTTACCTTATGAACTTTTGATGGAAATATGCAAATTTAAAATAATAAAGAAAGCCGCGAGCGAAGCGATTGGCTTAGTTCGAAGATTTTGATTGAAATCTTTGCTTATATTCCTTAAATTCTTTATGAAACTCGCAACAGTTCCATAAAAAATTTTAAATTCTAAACTGTCGAAATTACCGATCGGTAATCACACCCTTCACGGGTGTGTCACTTTTTACAAGCATGTCACTTTTAGCTAAAATCACCCCTACTCTGGATTAATTTTGACATGTAAAATTAACTTTACATTTTAATTTTCGTCAAAAAATTTTCGCTAATTAGCTGACAAAATATTTTTTTTCCTTCAAAAATTTTGACAGTATAAGAAAAATATGTATTCATCTACCCTTAGAGTTGTTCCTCCGGGCTATTATGACTTGCCAAAGCTTGAATACACAGGAAGAGTAATGCTCCCACTCGAAGCAATTGCTCAAATCCACAATAATTTCGATAATGGACCAACAATTTCAGTTTTCTGCATTACTAATACCAGAACAAAGCAAAAAGTATATGCTGGTATGGCTCCAAGCGATTCACGAGATGGTGATATCGTTATGCCGCTCTGGATGATGGATTTCCTTGGTGCAAACCAAGGCGATATGGTCAGAGTGCAATCAGCAAGACCACCGAATGGCAGATCCGCTACCTTCCAGCCATTAGATTCTTCATTCAATAAAATCTCAGATCCAGTTACTGTTTTAAGCAAAAGTTTACGTGATTTCCCTGTACTTACACAAGGATCAATTCTTCCTATAGATTTCGCTAAGCGCATCTACAAACTCAGAGTTCTCAAAACAGAACCTTCTGATGGAATTTTAATCAATAATGTCAACTTGAACACAGAATTCGCACCACCCGATACAGATTTCAAGCACAGATGGCTTGAACCAGATACTGATTCCGATCAATTCGAAGAACTTAAAGAACATCACGGAAAAACAATTCGTGGCAAGGAAATTACCTATAAAGACGAAAGAAAAGTATTACATCCATCATTTGCTGATCGTGAAAAAGAGCGCAATCAGCCTGGCTACGTTCCAAGTGTTTTAATCTTCAAAGAAGGCGATTTCGTCGAACCAGAAGATAACTCTGGCTCAAAGATGGTCGAAATGGAAAAGGCAAAATACAAGGCCCAGGAAGAAAACATTTTCGTTGGCCAAGGCCGAAGAATCGGAAAAACAAAATCACAATCTACAGATAAACTTAATTCTTCCAACGATAATCTTAGATCTGCAGGTTCATCGAACAGCAACTTGAAAGCTGCAGCAGAAGAACAGGAAGAACCACAAAAACCAAAAACAATTTTCTACGGAGTCGGAAGATCAATTAACGGCCATAAAGTACAGGGCGAAAAAGCTCCTCCTAAACATGAAGAGCCAAAGGAAGAAACTCCGGTTCTTCAATCCTCAATTTTCGGAACAGGAAAGACCTTGAGAGGCCGAATTCACGAATTCGATAAACCAAAGGAACCAGAAGCAGATCCATCGGCTCTTTACGGAAAACATGAAGAAAATCACCAAGATACAACATTCAAAGGAAAACCAAAGACAATTAGGAATTAATTAGGAATTAATACGGCCTGGTAAATAAAACAAATATTTTTAATATTTTTTAATTTTTTTTAAGGGTGCACTTATGCTCATCTGACACAGCCTTCAATTCAAATGTTTAAGGTTAAATTATCAGAAATTTGAATTAATGTCAGATGGGCGTAAGTGCAGCCTTAATATTTCATAAAACAATGTTGCATATTAAAAGAAAGATAATGTAATAAAACAATGATAAATATGAATTCAAACGAAGCGCCATTTGGATAGTTATTTTGTTAGTTGTTATTAATTTGATAATTTGTGAAGATAATTGTATAATATTATTGGAATTGACGCCCCAAATCATTTTTGATGCTTGATCTGGGCATTCGAATACTTTATTTGGCTTAAGGCCACGGTAATTGCACCAATTTTCATTTTTTAGCTGCTCTAAACTTGACATATCAAGCTTTGTAAAAATTTTATTTAAAAATTCAATAACTCAAACTTGAGAGAATGTCTGAAAGTGATAAGTATGCCTTTAGGCCGTGACACTTGTTGTCTTAAAAATCTTAGTTAGAAAGAAAGAATTTTGCATTAATGATGTTTCCGAGCAACGATACCACATGAAAGCTTATACAAATTTGTTCTATGTTTAGTATCTCATTGACAAGTATTGAATAAAATTGAAGAAGATGAAAGTTCAACATGTGACAATTGAATTATACAATGTGGAGTTTCCTTGTGTGTTATGAGCGCATTCACATGCTAACATTTTGGCATAATCTTACTTTGCCATTTTTCCTTATTTAAACCCATTTTTGGAAAGATTTAGTTAATTTTATGGTTTTTATTTGGTGTGAACTTATTTGGCTGAAATAAAAACAGAAATATGAGCTCACACTTTGTAATAAATTAAAAATATTGCTGATCAAAACTTTTCAATTTTTTTTACCAAATCTGGTAAACAAATAATTTTTTTATTTGAAAAATTCAATCTGTGTCAAGTATTGGAATCAAAAATACCCACGTTTAGAACTATTGCATTATCATTCATTTTTGAAAGGTGGAAAAAAGTTGCAAACATTCATTATGATAAATGCGTACTTAACGCGCTATGATGATTATATAAGAACAAATGAAATGCTTTATCATCTAAAGACAGAAGAGTCCCTTGAAGAACTTACCAATATGATAATTTCTGTTTTAGTAAACAAGTATAAAATGCCCATTAACGATCTGATAATGAGTATTTTAAACGCAATCAAATTCAACTATGGATCCACCAAGCTTTATATTCAAATACTTAATCATTTATCAAATGAATATCAAATATTTTCAAAAAGATTATTAAGTATCGAGGTTTTAGATTTTGCTTCCAATTATTTGAAGAAAGATCATACTAATAATATGATCAATTTATGGATTGAAACATCCTCAGAAGCCTTGGAAGTTCAAGAAATGATTAAGAATGATGATATTCAAAAATTCAAGGTCTATGCTTTAATGAAACCAATAACAGACATTTCAATAGCAATTCCATGTTTTCAAAGTTTATCGCCAATTGAAGCATGCTGCTATTTTGGATCTGTGAATATTTTTTATTATCTAAAAACAAATATGAATACCAAAATTACAAAGAAATGCATTCGATACTCATTTATCGGTGGGAATATAGCTATTATCAATGAATGCCAGGTATATCATCAAATAGATAAAATTTGTCTGAAATTTATTATTTATTCCCATAACATTACATACTTCGAATATATTTTGGAGAGGTTTCTATCAAAGATCAACGATTTTGATTTATGTGATATTGTTAATTCATCGAACCTTAAGGCAATGATTCTTTTTCTTGCGAAACATAACAATAATGTATTTTCAATTGATACTATTAAAAGAAAAATAATCAGATATACAATTCAAAAGAATATTAAAGAAATAATAGAATTAATTCTTTAAAAGGAAGAAGATAAACAAGGTTAAATAGCCCTTCATGTTGCAGTAAAAAATAATAATAGGGAAAAAACAAAGATTCATAGCATAATTGTACAAAAAATGCAAAAGATCTTATTTTGTTTGGTGCTGATATAAATCATAATGGAATAACTCCCCTTCATAATTCAGCAAAAGGTGCAGATAAAAATTCCGAAGATAATAATAGTGTGATATATGTCCAATATTCTGTATTACCTATACAAGGTACGATGGGAGCTCCTTTTTTAGCGCCAGCGGGGGCACATGAACCACTGGTCGCCCAAAGTGGGGGAGAATCCGATAGGAAAAATATAAAAGTTTTGTTCATCTAGTATATTTAGTTCATATTTTTTGAAGAAGATATCACCTGAATATAAATATTGATGATTTTCCTCAATATCATTGATGTTTATATAACATAAGTAGAATACAGCATACTTTTAAGATAATTTGTCATCAACTTTTTTTGACTATCGCAGATATCTTGTAACATAAGAGGAAAGTTCTTCTTTGATAATCATGATATTGATCAACATTATGCTTTTTAGATCCTTCATGCGTTTATTGAATGACTTTTACATGAACAATTAAATTATTCAAAATTTAATTGCTAAGTAAGATGTTTGATTGCATTATGAAAATAAAAGAATGAATTCATTCAAGGTGGGCATAATTCTATTCTAAGAAGGCAATTAGTGATATGAAAGGACTGAGGTAAAAATATGACAAAAAAAATGGCGAATAAAACAACATCTTTATACTTAGGAAATGTTGAAATATTCGATTCCGAAGAACAAGCAATTGATGAAATTTATGATGCCATTGGATATAAGCCAATAAACATACGTTTTATGAGAGATCCAGCATCCGGAAATCAACTTAACTATGGCTTTATTAAATTTAAGAATGCATCAGAAGCAACAGAGGCCATGAGACTCTTGAAAGGCTCATTGATGAGGAGAAGGCCAGGAGTTCGTTGGAATGTAAATTGGGGAACAGATAAAAACGAATCCACAGATGCAGACAGTCTCGTTAAAGCCGAAGGATATTCCGTATACGTCGGAAATATTCCAAATACCATTGATGATAACGCGTTGCTTGACTTTTTCAGAAATTACATTCCCTCAGCGATCAATGCACGTATTGTTTATGCCAATGGAGTTCATAAAGGCTTTGGCTTTGTTAAATTCTCAACTTACCAAGAATGCTTAAGCGCAATTGAAAAGTTAAATAATGTTAACGCCTGGGGACGCCCACTCAGAATTTTCGAAGCAGAAAATAATAGAATTCTTGGTGTCAACCAAGAAAATAACACAACTCTTTACATTTCCCAACTTGATCCAAATATTATCAATGAAGAGATTCTTACATCTACTTTCGGCCGCTACGGTAATGTAGTTTCCATCAAGATCGATCCAGTTAAGTTCAGCTGGGCTTTATTGAAGATGGAAACCCATTCCATGGCAGAATCAGCCATGAACGCACTCCAAGGAGCCAAATTCGGCGGCACATCAAAATGCGCTATTAACTGGGGCCGTGATGTCGATGATTCTTCTGTAAGTGACAAATCTTCCAGAATTTCGATTCCTTCAATGAAACCGACCAAACAAAACAGGAGAAATTACGTAGAATTCTACACAAAGGAAAATATCCACAAGATTATTAACATAATTCAGTCGATTTCGGAAAGTCAAAGAGAGCTTCCTTTACCAAACACAGATCCTCAAGTTGCGAACCGTGCTTACGCCAGACAATCTATTCCTGCATCAACTCTCTTTGATACCAAAGAATTTCACGATTATATTCCAAATGATCAGAACATTTGGTATTTTTAATGCAGTCTTTGTTCATTTTATAATACTAAACCTGTAAATTTTGCAGTTTTAACTACTAATTATTTTTTATTAATAAAGTTTTCAAAATTTTACTGTAGTTTTTGGATTTTGATCCATAAACATTGTAAATCTATTAATTTTATGAGCATTTGCAATATGTAAAATACTTTTCCTATAAAATTTACCAAATTTTATTCACAATTTCCTAAAAATTTATGAATTTAAACCCTCATAAAGCGACTAATTAATTGGCTATTAATGTCAAAATACAAATGATTTTCAATTGATTAGTGTTCGGGTACTTATCTTATCAATTTTTTGTGAAGAGAAATTTTATCTGAACACTAAATCATTTTTCGATAATGTTTGACTGGTTTGATGAACCAATTGTATACTACAGACGCTTTGCCCCAATGCGCTCCGGTGTCTTCGATTACATGTCACGTTGGATGGACTCTGTAGATCGTGAGATGGAAGAAGCATTCGGTGACTTTTATGATGCATTTACTCGTCGCCAAGTTCCTCATGATATGATCAAAGATGGCAACAAGAAGGAGAACAAGAAGGGTGCTAGCAAGAAGGGCAATGAGAAGCCAAAGAAGGAAACTAAGCATGAAGAAAAGGAAGCTGCCCAAAGCGAAGACGAAGTCGATGATGAAGAAAATCCACAATACTACTCAATCACATCATCAATGTACAGTGGCTCCGATGGTATCCAGCATATGCACCGTGAAGAAGTTGATTCAAAGAGTGGACTTCGCAAAGTTGTAGATACAAAACGTATCGGCAACAAGTCTGTTACTGTTCACGAAGTTACTGATAAGGATGGCAAAGTTGAGAAGCACCAAACTTTGAAGAACATCCATGACGATGAACTCGAAGACTTCTTGAAGAAGTGGAATGAAAGCAATGTTCCAGCACATTCCTCTCTTCCAGAACCAAAGGACAAGCCTAAGAAAGAAGAAAAGAAGGAAGAGAAGAAAGAAGAAAAGAAGGAAGTGAAGAAAGAAGAAAAGAAGGAAGAAAAACAATGACTAATGTATGCTAGCATGAAATAAAAACTTGAATTTATATAAAACAACAAACACTCTTTTTGTCTATGTAATATTATAAATTGAGATTTTCAGATTTTTAATTGTCACTTTTTTGTATTTGTAATATGTTATTTGCTTTTTCTTCTTTTGTAGCATCAACTATTGATGAATGCGTTGCTCCACGTGAGTATAGCATTTTAGATGTACCAGGAAAGAACTACACATTGAAATATGTATCTGTTCTCACTCGTCATGGTGCAAGATCTCCATTAGATCCATTCTTGGAGAGACAGCAGAGAGGTATATGGCGCTGTGATTCTGAAGATGCTCAAGCAGCTCACATGGAATCAAATCCAGTCGTTAAACCAAGAAGAGTTAAAACAATTCTCGATAATAGATTTGCAGAATACCCACCAAATTGCAAACTTGGCGATTTAATCATCGACGGTATGATCCAACACAAGCTTTTAGGTCAAAAATTACGTGAATTGTATTACGAAAAATTACACTTTATTCCCGAATATTTAGACCCAACAGTCGTTTTCGCTAGATGCACGGCTTACGATCGCACATTTAGAAGTGCAATTTCATTCATGTCTGGCTTATATGAACCAGCAGATCCAAATGAAGTTTTAGAAATCACAACAGGATCCCCATCATCAGATTCTCTCCGTCCAAAGAAAGACTTTTGCAAGGACTTCAATACAATGGCAAACGATTATTTCGGATCAAAGGAATTTACAGATTATTATCAGGAAACACTTAACTCAGTTCAACCTGTAATTAATTACCTCAACGTTACAGATGTTTCCTACTCCAAGCTCGATAAGATTTGCGATTGGGTTACGACAATGTTCTGCAATGAGCAGTATATGCCTGATGAAATCACATCTGACATGATCACAACATGCAGAAGATATCAGGGAACAATGCTCTACGGACTTTACAACAAGACAAGAGGTGTTGCCTTCTCATATGGAATGAGAGAAGTTTTGAAGTACCTTGATTCATATATCAATGGAGAGTCCACACAAAGATTCGTTCTCCTTTCAGCCCATGACTCGACCGTCGCTGCTTTCCTTTCCTTCCTCGGATTTAAGAACGATTTCATTCCTCCTCTTGCTTCCCACATCGTTATGGAAGTCTACAACGATGAAGCAGAGTCTGAATTATACGTAAGATTCGTTTTCAATGGCCAACCACTGAAGATTGATTTAATGGGCGACCAAGAACTGTTCAAGCTTCATGACTTTAGACAAAAGATTGGCCAATACCTTCTTTATTGCCCGGAGATGCCTTAAACTTATTTCTATTTATAAATTTTAAAAATTTTGTTGAAAGACATTTTAAATCATTAAAATTTGGAAGCGAAAATATCTGATTTTGGAATAATTATAGTTGTCGATTCTTGTTCATGACTTATATTTCCTAAATTTTCCTTTTTCAATGTAAATTTCGAAATTGAAATGGTTTCAATTGAAATAAAATGTTTGGAAATTGAAATTCATATCTATCATCTACGAACTAAATGGACCCTACAGTTTAAACCATTATGAAATATAATTGACTACATCGGGTGAATTTTCTTTTTTGATCAAAATTATTATACTACTATATGCATTATAATTCAGCAATTACAAAAATTTGAATGTACTACAATCACTTTTTGAATGATACTATTGATCAAATTGAATTCTCATCATATCACTTTGCGTCATCAGCTTTTCGTAATCGAAACCTATTTTGTACAATAGCCAAATAATATAAACTAAATTCCACCAATGATTTTTATAAACAAAACGGTCAATTTATACTCCTTTTAAGGTATATTATTTGGGCAGAAGAAATTGTGCCAAAATTGTATTCAATTTCCTCTCTTTAAAAATTTCAGTAAAAAACTTTTTGTGAATTTTACATTGTGAATATTTTGCTCTGAAAAAATGACTTTTATTAGACGCTCTGCTAGGGCAAATGAAAAAATAGCCTCGTTACCAGTATCAGAGCCATCAAAGGAAACTAAAATTATGTCAGAGTCAGCGAAAGCTTTTATAGAAGACAAATTCACTCAGATGTTTCAAGAAACTTCAGTTCGTCGAGATAAATACAACGCAGTTATGAATTCTCCAAATCTAAATCAAGAAGAAAAAGAAAAAATTCTCTCGCAATATGCACAAGAAGAATCAGATTTTGCAAGGAAATCGCGTAGTAAGATTAAAACGTCAAGATTTGAGCGTATTAAGTTGATTGGTAGGGGAGGGTTTGGCGAAGTTTGGCTTGTTAAAGATAATGAAGATCGGAATTTTTACGCATTAAAGGTTTTACGTAAGGCTGATATTATTATGAGCGAACAGATTCAAAATGTTCGAACAGAAAGAGATATTCTCGCACACTCCGACAATCCGTGGTTTACTTATTTGAATTGCTCCTTCCAGGATGAGGAAAGATTATACCTTGTCCTCGAATACGTGTGTGGCGGAGACTTAATGAATGCTCTTATTAAAAAAGGTGTTTTCGATAACGACACAGCAAAATTTTTCATCGCTGAGATGACATTAGCTGTGCATTCTGTTCATGAATTACACTTTTTACACAGAGACCTCAAGCCAGATAACGTTTTGATTACAGAATCAGGTCATATTAAGCTTACTGATTTTGGTCTTTCAAAGAATTACCAAGAGAACGATACACGTTTCCAGAAACTCAATGATGAAATCATTGAGCTCATTTCTGGACGTCCTTTAGACAGACCATTCCATGATAGAGGAACAGAAATAGGAACATGCTCTTATACAGCGCCAGAAATCTTAATTGGCAAGCCACCAACTACTTTATCTGATTTTTGGTCGTTAGGTGTCATTCTTTACGAAATGTTATACGGATTTGTCCCATTTATGGGTCAAACATCAAGAGAAACAGCTCTTCGTATCATAGCATGGAAGAGATGTTTAGTATATCCACAGATTGAAGGTCATCCAGTTTCTCCATTGGCTGTTGACTTATTACAACATCTGTTGTGCGATCCAGAGGACAGATATGGTTTTGAACAGATTATTGTCCATCCTTTCTTCCAAGGATTCGATTTCGACAATCCATTTTCTAATTCTCCGCCAATGGTTCCAGTCATTAAATCACCAACAGATACATCTCATTTCGATGAGATAGAACCAAGCGAACAACCTTTGGCTGCTTCAATTCCACTTGCAAATATTTCTCAATTTGCATTTCTCGGATTTACAATTAAACCAAAGTTTAGTCGCATTAACCGAAGGATTGCCTCCGTTGACTAGTATAGATTTGTTCCTGTTGTTTTTCTGTTTTGCTCATGCATTTATATTATAATAAATTTTTGTTTTTTATCTCTCAACTGCATATAATTGTTTTGCTATACCAATGCTCATTTGAATTACGGTTAATTCGACCATAAACAAATAAAATAATTTGAAAATTTTATAAGTCGATAAGCAATACAAAGTTTTGCTTGATAAAATATTTTTATCTATGAATATACTTATCATATAAACTATTAGCTCAAATGATGACAACGATTAAAACGGTTACCCGCATCAACTTGAATGACTTAATGATTGATTGTCCGAGATCTAGTTCATCGTCACAGCTCATATATGATTCTTCAAGCCAACATCCATTGGAACGTAGAAGGATCTTAGGGGCATTAAGAGAGAGGACTATATTCATTCAAAACAACATTCCTCCACCAATTTTACCAAAAACAATTGTTACGCCAAAAATACAGCCAGAAATAACTTTTGATGACAAAGCAGAGATCAAAGAACTAGTATCAAGGATCAATGACCACGTCAACCATATTTTGGCCGCCCAAGAATGCTCTTTAGAAGACAAACTTTACGACATTGACGCACAAACTCAGCGAAACCAAATACTTCAAGAGGAGCTAGAAAACAGACTCATTAAGATACAGAGACAGCTTGCATCTATGAAGAGAGAAAGCCAGTCAAAAACTCATCAATACGTAACTCAAAGACCCGAATTTACATCTACATATTCAGCTACTCCAAAGCCAATGAGAACGTATCAGAACGATGACTCTCCATTTGTTTTCAAGAGAATATGATACATTTTCATAAACTAAACATAAAAATTACGTATATAATTTTTTTTTATTAATAAACAAAATAATCATAGTAAATTTGGAATACATTGTCATCTACTTATATATTGAGAAACTGATTTACTGAACTGTGATGTAATTAGTTTCAAATAATATTTTCTAATTGGATTTATATAGTTTGTCCCAATTTTCGAGCAGTCTTTGAACAGCAGATTGCTTTTGGATACCAACAAATGTGACATCATCATCCTGGTAGTCTTCAAATTGAATTGAAGGTTTTCTTGGGAGAATTACAACATCATTATCATCTGAAGAGCTACTAGAGCGATAATCAGATGATTCTAAACCCTTCATAATCAAGCTTTTAGCGTAAGCTCGATTTGCAGGATTCATAAATGATATTTTTTTGTAAAAAAATTTTTGGACATAAATTCTTCTCAATTTAAAATTTTTGTCATTATAGACACATGTAAACTAAGAAATTGGCAAATGTCAGAAAAATAGTGTGATGACTCAACTTTGGGTCGGTAACACTGTAATTTGGAAAGATGAGGAATCACTTATGAGTGATGTCAAGCAAATGACAGGAAAGCAACCTAAATCTTGCTGGTTTGCAAAGGATAAAAGCACAGGAACTCATTTAAATTACGGTTTTCTTGTTTTCGCTTCGAAAAATAATGCAGCTGAAGTAATCCGTCTTCTCAATGGTACAGAGGTCCCGAATAGCAACGGAAACAAGTTCAAACTTGGTTGGGGAAATACAACTTTTGAATCCGACGCAGATACGATTGCAAAAGCAGAAGGCTTTTCATGTTACGTTGGTGGATTGCCATCTAGTGTTAAAGAAAGCGAGTTATTAGAGTTTTTCAAAAGATATTTTCCAAACGCAATAAATGCGAGACTTATTCGCGACGAAAAAGGAAATTCGAAAGGATACGGTTTTATTAAGTTTAATAAGCATCAAGAAGTGATTGACGCCATCCAAACTTTGAATAATGTTAATTTTAAGGGCCATCCGCTAAAAGTAAAGGAAGGAACACAGAACAGAGTTAGTACAAACGAAAACAACTCCCTAGATGTCAAAAATACTACTCTTTTTATTACAAATATTGATCCGGACGTTGTCAAAGAAGAGACACTTTTACAGAACTTCCATCAATACGGCAATGTTCTAAGTGTTAAAATCGATCCAAACAATCAATCTTGGGCAACAGTTGTCATGGAAACTCATACATCAGCAGAAAGTGCCAAAAACGCGCTTTCTGGATCCCAATTTGGTGGCACAACAAAAGCTGTTATCGAATGGGGTAAAGCAATTGATGATGCACCTGATACAAAACAAACAATTGTAGTTCCTATTTTAAATCCACCAAAAATCAGTAAAAAGAAGCAAGCTGCTTTCTTCAATGAAGAAAATACCAATAAAGTTGTCAATATTATGAGGATTTTCTCAGAACAAAATAGACAAAAACCACTTGAAAAATCTAACCCGATTATCGCAAATAGAATGGCTGCTTCATCAAGCTTAGACTTATCTCTTCAATATGAATCGCGTTTATACAGTCAAAATGTTCCTGAAGAAGCAAAATTCTGGTATTATTAAATTATTTTATAATTTTGTTTGTATTATAGAATATAATGATAAAGTTATTTGTTATAAAAGCATAGATTTCTAATTTTAATGCTTTTAATCTTTTCAACATTCATTTAAGTGTAATGTTATCTTAAAATGATGAAATGCGAGTGCAAATATTCTTAAAAGTATGTAAAGAAGCATCTCCTGTACTTTTGCTATTAAATGTATCTTTTTTTCGAGATGATTTGATGAATTTAATCCGAAATCTGAAAGAAGAAAATCGAATTTGCAATTTTAACCGATTATATGTTATGTTATTAATAAAATCGACTTGTCTTAGACGATAAAATTAAAGTGTTCAATAAAAAATTTTATTTAACTTATTTATATTCGTTTATAAGATGCAATTAGCATATCATCGATAAATAAGTTTTTGAGAGAATTGAAATGATTCTGGCCGTTGAAAATGAAAAACTGATCGTAATTTTTTTATAAAAAAATATCATGAGTCGTCCTGTTTTGGTTTTCATTAACCCGGCAAGTGGTGCAAACCTTGCTGGCCGCTTTATGGATAAGATAAAGGATATTGAAGGCGTTCATTATGTTAGATTGCCAGATGAACAACATACTTTCGCTGAAACTTACAAGGATTTGCTTCAAAATCACGAACTAAGAATTGTCGCAGCCGGAGGTGATGGCACCGTTAACTGGGTTGTCTCTTTAATGTCTAAAATCACTCCATTAGATTCTGATGATTGGAAACCGCCAATTGCTGTCTGCCCATTCGGCACAGGCAATGATATGTCACGATCATTAGGTTGGGGTGGTGGTATGTCCGAACGCGGCCTCAAAAAAGCAGCAAAATTCATTGAAAATGTCCGTACAAGCGACCACATCGAAAAAGGTGATATCTGGAAGATCAAGATGACACGTACCGATATTAGTGAAGTTTCCGAGAAGCAAATGCTTAACTACTTTTCAATTGGTGTCGATGCAGACATGGCCCACAAATTTGAGACATGGAGACACTGCTGCAGGTGATGCTTCTGCTGCCATTGCATGGCCTTAGCTTTATACGTTCCTATGGGCGTTGCAGCTCTCTGTGGAAATCCAGATCTCAGAAAATTCACCGAAATCAAAGTTACCGACACTGACGAGCAAGGAGTAGAAGCTACAAAGACATTGGACTTCAAGTGTGGCCAAAAAACATTTGTCATGCAAAATATTTCTTCAATTTACGGTGGAAAAGACCTTTGGAGGTCAAAGATTCCAAGAAGCCACTCTGATAAGAAGCTTGAATGCTCTATTGAAGGCGGCAGCTTCAAGCTCGGCCTCATGCAGCTTGGAATTCCAACTCAAACTCCACTTTGCCAAGCAACAAGCGTCAACATTACAACGGATGAGCCATGCGTCTTCCAAATTGATGGCGAAGCTGATATCTTAAACGGACCTGGCGTTTTTGAAGTTATCAGAACAGGTTCATATCCATTCTTATCAAAGAAATAGAATATCACATTTTCTCTGTTATTTAAACTTTGGAATTTACACTATCATTCTTATTTCAAATCAATTTTTTTTTATATTGCTAAATTGTTAGACTCTTAGATGCCAAGATATTCTATTGGGTCTCAGGATGAACAGTAAGAATGGTTATTTCTTGTAATTTAGAGTAAAACAGTTTTAATCGTTTTCATTTCATATCACATGACTGTCCTTCAATAAATTTTACCATCACTTTTCCCTCTATTTCATGTCACATGACTGTCCCCAATAATGAAATTTATAATGAATTTTAAATTTAATAATGGGAATTTCTCGCATATGTTCGTACATGAGCAAATACTATACCTTTTGCGAATAAAGAATTTTTTCATAAAAAATTTTTTTAGGAATTAGCATATCGGCGTTTTGCGACATTGCCAAACGCCAGATTTTAACCCGACATATGAGCATAAGCTCGTATATTGGAATAAACTCGACTTATTCCATATTAAAGTTATTATAATAATAAGGCACTTAATGTGCAAATCTAATTGAATTAGAAAATGCACATTAAATGCCTTATTATTATAATAACTTTAATATGGAATAAGTCGAGTTTATTCCAATATACGAGCTTATGCTCATATGTCGGGTTAAAATCTGGCGTTTGGCAATGTCGCAAAACGCCGATATGCTAATTCCTAAAAAAATTTTTTATGAAAAAATTCTTTATTCGCAAAAGGTATAGTATTTGCTCATGTACGAACATATGCGAGAAATTCCCATTATTAATTAACATCATTATAACTTATGAAATGTGTAAGCATAAATGACTTTTAAATTCGACTTATTGAAATTTTTTTTTCAATTTTTTAATGTCTCATCAAGACAGTCACCTAAGTGAATACAGTGATTTGCGAAATATACACAAATACTACATAGATTCATATAATACTTTGTATCAGCTAAAAACGAAAAATGAAGAAGAACTAAACTCAATTTACAAAATCATCAAAACAGAACTTATTGATTCAAAGAAATATCCTCCTGAAAGCATTATACGAGACATTTTGAACATAATTCCCTATAATAATCGCTATACAAAATCATATTTAGCTCTAGCGAAACATCTTTATGATGATTATCATGTAAAAAATGTAACTGATATTGAAGATATTTCTAGATACCTGTTTTCTAAAGAATACGGAATATTATTAGGCAAATATGTTTATTTCGACTGGAAAAATTTCAAAAATCTTGATATTCATTCAGAATATACAATTTACAGAGCCATTATGGATAATGACTTAAAATTATTCATTTCATTCACTGAAATGGAAGGATTTGATAAAAATCAATTGCTTAAATGTGATTTATATCCAAATTTTGATGGCGAATTTTCATTACTTGAATTATGTTCTTATCATGGAGCAGCTGATTGTTTCAAGTTTTTAAGAACCAAATTTAATTCAGAAATAACTTTTTATTGTCTTGCACTATCATTTTTAAGAGGAAATCCTGAGATCATGAGTGAATGCTTGAAATACAACAATACATATAATGATGGCGCGATGTATTCAATAAGCATGGAATATGCAATTATCTCACACAACATTGATTTTGTTCCATACTTGATGAATGAGCACAATTTAAAAATTAATTTAAATGATTGCATAAAATATAAAAATCTTGAATCATTTTTAGTTTATTTCGATCAAACTAATGATGTTAACAAATGTTTTAAATATTCGATAAATCTTGATATTCCATCAATTTGCGAATATTTCATTTCAAAAGGTGCAAATATCAATGAAAAATATAATCTAGAAAATACCGCACTTCATTATGCTGCATTGTATAACAGTAAAGAAATAATTAAACTACTTCTTTCACATCGTGCAAATGTCAATGAAAAAAATGCAGTTGAAGATACTGCTCTTCATACTGCAGCATGTGAAAACTGTAAAGATATTGTTGAACTTCTTCTTTCACATGGTGCAAACATCAATGAAAAAAATAGGAATGGAATGTCAGTTCTTCATTTAGCAGTATATTTTAATTGTAAAGAAGCAACTGAGTGTCTTATATCACACGGTACAAATATCAATGCAAAAGATAATCAAGGTGAAACGCCTCTTCACATTGCTGCAGAGAGAAATCATAAAGAAATGGTTGAACTTCTTCGTCAACATGGAGCAAACATCAATGAAAAAAATCATGATGGAAAAACACCTCTTCATGTTGCATCAAAAAATTATAGTATAGATTCTGCCAAACTTCTTCTTTCACTTGGTGCAAATATCAATTCAAAAGATAACATTGGAGAAACCGCTCTTCATATTGCGGCAGATAAAAATAATAAGGATATGGTTGCTCTTCTCCTTTCGCATGGTATAAAAATCAATGAAAAAAATAATTTACGCGAAAATGCTCTTCATAGTGCAGCATATAGTAATAGTAAAGACGCAGTCGAACTTCTTCTATCTCATGGTATTAAAGTCAATGAAAAAAATCAATATGGAAGAACCCCTCTTCATATTGCAGCCGAGAAAAAATTGCATAGAATTGGCGAAACTTCTTCTTTCTCATGGCGCAAAAGTCAATATAAAAGATGATCATGGCGAAACAGCTCTTAATAAGGCCTCACGCTATAATAATGACGAAATAGTGAGGCTTATTATTTCGTATGGAGCTAAAAAATAAAGAAATAGGTTCTGATTATTTAAAATCGAATTTGCACATTTTTTGCGTTTTTGGGGAAAAAATTTGGAGTTGACCATTATTAAAAATCAAATATAAGCTGGCCGATTTGGTTAATAGCCGCCTTTGAAACGTACCCCAAGGTAAAAAAATCTGGTTTATTCCGACTTAATACATATGTATCTGGATCAAAGATTCTCCCTCTAGAACACGTATGCTTAACGTAGGCGTCTGCAAAATGGCACAATTTTTGAGACTTTATGCCAGCCAGTGGCTTTTTCGAATTTTTGCTAAAAAAATCGTGCCTCGTGCAGTGGAAAGGATGTCGCCCTTCGGGCTCCACCCTTTCCACTGCACTCGGCAAATGCGCCCAAATATGAAATATGCTCATTATTATTTTTTCCTCTTTTCCCTCCTTTTTCTTTACATGGACGAATTGACTACTTTACACGGATTGATTTTTTAAATGCACAAATAATGCACAGATTGAATTTAGAATAATCGTTTTTGCATATTTTTTTGCACTTTTATGAAAACACAAGCTAAGGAAATCAATATATAATTGTAAGTTCATGATTAAGAAAAAGAACAACCAAATTACTACAAACGGATAAAAAAAGGTATTAATTTAATAAAACATAAAAAAATAAAAATTATTCCAAAGTCTTACAAAGTGATAAAAGTTCTGGCATTGCGTCAATAATCGCAGTTCTTCCTTCTCGTTGTTCATCAGCCTTGAGTTTCTTCACGCGATCGTATATCTCGTTGAGTTCAGCTGTGTGGTCGCAAAGTTTTTCTAGTTCATCCCTCAGCTTCCACCTTGCTTCGAACAGTCTTGAAACAACGTTTCTGTCCAGACCTTTTTGTATTGCCCCGTTAAAACTTTCTGCGTCCAAAAGATCCTTTTGCAGGGCATCCAAACGGTCATACCATCTTTGATGGCTTTTCTTGGCTTCCACGAGTGTTTCCGATGCATTTTCAGCAGTCTTTGATATTATTCTGATGCAGGATTGCATGTCTTTGTGCTTTTTCTGTTTGTATCTGGCGCATTTATCTCTAAGTTCTGCAAGATCAAGTAATTGACGAGTAATATACTGATCTAATATAGCAGATCTATCTGAATTATTCATTGGCTCAATAATCTTCCATATACTGTCGTAATTTCCTGTATCATATTTTATAATTTCGACTTGTGGCATTTTATTGAGCTTTTCAGTAGCAATTTCGATTTCCTTCTTAAGTAGATTGTATTTTGCTTCATGGATCTTCTTCTTTTTCCTTAATTGGTACTCGAAGAAACAAATAATTGCTTTAATTCCGTTTCCATTTGATTCTCTACCGGAGAATTGGAAGTTTGTGAGTTCCACGAGTGATTGTGAGAGCTCATCCATCAAGATATCCCTTTCTTCCATCTTACTTGCCATTACTTCGTTGAAAAATTCTTCAGAAAACTCCTGGGAAATGAGTTTCTGCTCTTCTATACGTTGTTGCCGCAAGTGCTTCTTCAGTTCTATTGTTTGGGTGTAGAGAGTTTCTTTTTGCCTCAAGTCGTCGAATAAAATGTCCATTTGCGTGTAAATACTGTTCAATTCTACGAGTTTCGGAGGATCGCAGACTTCCACGAGTCCCTTGTTACTGTAAATAACAGGTTCCTCGGCTTCGTAGATGTTTTTGATCTCCCATGGAGCGGCGACATTATTTAATGGGCCATTTCGACCGATTCCGCCGACAATGTAGACGTGGTCGTCAACTACGTAGGAAATGTGGTTGTATCTGCCCATTTTTTCGATAGATTTTGAGTTATGTCCGCTTAAATGATTTTTCGGAGTCCACATGACTGCAGGGTTATGATATGTAGCGGAAAGATCCCACAGATCACCAAGGATCTTACCGTTCTCGTCTAATCCACCGAAAACGCGTAATCTGTTTTGAATTAAAGAAACTGAACAAAAAACTCGAGGAGGAAGTCCATCTGCTTCCAAAGGAATACTTGTAGCTGTAAATGTATCCCCATTGAATTCGATACAAAGTATGTCTTTGCGTAAATATACAAAGCTTGCGCCTCCAATTACATATAATCGAGAACATCCTGCGTAATACCATAATATCGAACAATGTCCTTTTCTGCACGGTACTCTTTGTCCACAATTCGTTAATTTAGTCCATGAATTCTTTGAAATATTAAAACGCCAAATATCAAACTCCAAAATTGAAGGGCAAATTCCGCCTGTAAGGAGAAATGAATCGTCGTCAATAACTGTAAGGCTAAATAAATCGCGATTTACTGGAGATTCTCCTTTGACATCTAACATTTCAAAAGGAATTCCAATTTTGCCTTTAAAAACGGATAAGTACTCACCATCGACGCATTCGACTTTATATATATCATCGCCTACGGCAATTGCAGAGAACTTTGGTTGAACTATGTTGTTAATTGTCATAGGATTGTCACTTTTTTATTATGATATTTTATCATTCATCTGTTATCGGCGTGCAGAGTTTCCCATATTGGTTTCAATGGAGCAGTTGATTGTTTCAAGTTATTAAGATCAAAATTTAACTAAGAAATCCCTCAAACATGTCTAGAAATTCATTTTTATGTGGAAATCCAGAAATCATGATCATGAGTGAATGGGGTCCATTATAAATTCCCCCATTATTATGAATACGGTATCATTATTATAAATTCCATTTAATACGCATAATGGATTAATTCGAATAAAGGGTCAATTCGAATAACCGCCAAAAATGGAATAACGGGTTTTATGGAAATTCCATTTATTTTATCTGAATTTCGAATAACCGCTTTATTCGAATTTCCATTCAAATTAGAATTTCGAATAAACGGGTGTTATTGGAATTTCCATTCCAAAAAATGTTATATTTTGGCTTAATACTCACACATCAAATATAGCAAATATGGATTATCATTTGTTTCCAAAAGATTAAATATATTTGGCATGAAATTTTGATTAGCTAGATCAATTACATATATTAGATACTGCATTTCTGGGAATAGAAATTCCAATAACACCCGTTTATTCGAAATTCTAATTTGAATGGAAATTCGAATAAAGCGGTTATTCGAAATTCAGATAAAATAAATGGAATTTCCATAAAACCCGTTATTCCATTTTTGGCGGTTATTCGAATTGACCCTTTATTCGAATTAATCCATTATGCGTATTAAATGGAATTTATAATAATGATACCGTATTCATAATAATGGGGGAATTTATAATGAACCCCAATGTTTGAAATATCAAAAGATTCATTGCATATGCAATTATTTCATACAACATTAATTTTCGTTAATTTAAAGATTGATTTAGATGATTGTGTGTTGTATAATAATCAAATTAAAAATGTTAACAAATGCTTTGTTATTTCTGTGATGTTCAGTGATCCACCCTTATGCGAATATTTTCTTTGGCATGGGGCAAATTTTCTTCAATTCAATTCTTTCAGGGCAAATTTTCCTCTCAAATATTGGCAAAATCATAAATTTATTTGAAAAATTCAAATAGAGTTTGCCAGATTTTGAAAATTTGTAAAATCTAGCAAACTGTTATTATTATATCCATATAACTCATGAGATGGGAATCATAAAAATTTTGACAAAAACAATTGAAGGTATTATCCATTTTTGAAAGATTTACAATTTTCACAAAAATTCAAAGTGGAAAAAAATTTGCAAACATTCATTATGATAAATGCGTACTTAACGCGCTATGATGATTATATAAGAACAAATGAAATGCTTTATCATTTAAAGTCAGAAGAGTCCCTTGAAGAACTTACCAATATGATAATTTCTGTTTTAGTAAACAAGTATAAAATGCCCATTAACGATCTGATAATGAGTATTTTAAACGCAATCAAATTCAATTATGGATCCATCAAGCTTTATATTCAAATACTTAATCATTTATCAAATGAATATCAAATATTTTCAAAAAGATTATTAAGTATCGAGGTTTTAGATTTTGCTTCAAATTATTTAAGTATAGACTATACTAATAACAAGATCGATTTAGGGATTGAAACATCATCAGATATCTTGGAAATTCAAGAAATGATTATGAATGATGAAATCCAAAAATTCAAGGTCTATGCTTTAATTAAACCAATAACAGATATTTCAATAGCAATTCCATGTTTTCAAGGTTTATCGCCAATTGAAGCATGTTGCTATTTTGGATCTGTGAATATTTTTAATTTTCTCATATCAAATATGAATACCAAAATTACAAAGGAATGCCTTCGATACTCATTTATCGGTGGGAATATAGATATTATCAGTGAATGCCAGGTATATCATCAAATAGATAAAATTTGCTTGAAATTTATTATTGATTCCCATAACATTACATATTTCGAACATATTTTGGAGAGATTTTCATACATGATCAACGATATTGATTTATGTGATATTGTTAATTCCTCAAACTTGAAAGCAATGATTCTTTTTCTTGAGAAATATAACAAAAATGCATATTTAAATGATATAGGGTGTCCAAAGGTGTGTTTAGCACAAACCTGAATACTGCGAATAGAAATAAACAAGTTACATATATATAAAGTTTATTTAAATATAATCACCATTGGATTCAATCACGCGTTCGCAGCGATCGATCCAGGCTTGAAAGACACGCTTTAAATCATCATGAGAAAATTGCTCAAATTACTCTCTTACAAAATTTTCAAGATCATCTGGACTCGCGAATTCGCGTCCTTCAGCTCTCTTTTTTAGCGTGCCGAATAAATAAAAGTCAGAGGGTGCAATATCAGGTGAATAAATTGGGTTTGGAACAACTTTGACATTGTTTTCCACCAAGTAATTCATTACCTTATGACTTTTGTGAACTCTTGAATTATCAAAATGAATTGCAAACTTTTGTTTTTGTTGTTTGGATTTCTCAAACTCATCAGAATTGATAATTTGAGTAAGAACATTGTCAATTAGATACTGAGCATTCATCGTATTAGGTTTTTGAAGAATATCAATTGCGATGATGCCATTCACGCCCCAAAAAACCGATAACATCATCATTGGTGTGTCAATTTTTTTCTTCGGGAATGTTTGCGGATTTTCATCCTTCGGGATCCACATGATTTTGGCTTCTGTTGCATATTGAAACCAAGACTCGTCCCCTGTTACTAAAAAGCGAAACTTCTTGGATTGATACGCACCCAATATAGAGAGGAGCTCTTTCGAAGATTGGACTCTAGATTTTTTTTGAACTGAATTAAGGTTGTGCGGAACCCAACGTGTATACGCTAGTTTGTAGTTCAAATAATTGTGCAGATAATAACTGACTGTTGTACGTGGTATCTTTGTCATCTCCTCTATCCTTCTGAGTGATGCTCTTGGGTCTTCATCTAGCGCTTGAAGAATTGCTTTGATTTTTCTTTGATCCGGCGATTTTTTGTCAATTTTTATGATGGGCGCCTTTTTGTTCATGAAGTGATACATCCTAACATGATACGTTACAGTGGAATAGCTAGGAGCATCCATACCGAAGCATTTTACCAATGTCTCGTAGATTTTTTTACAGTCTTTGCATTTTTTTGCAAGAGCGAGGATGTTTTCTTTATGATTCATTAAAAAATGAAAAAAATCCCGCCAAAATTTCCCGAGAAACCGCCTCTTGTCTCAAAATTCATTTTATATCCCGGCATGGCGCCAAAATACAACATACTCATCATATACATATATTCATATTTTTTATTATATATTTATAATCAGCATATATCTCCTTTAATAGTCTCATATAGAGCGCTGTGCTAAACGCACCTTTGGACACCCTATACTATTCAAAGAAAAATACTCAGAAATGCAATTCAAAAGAACAGTAAAGAAATAATTGAATTAATCCTTGGACAGAAGGTAGATGTTAATGCAAAAGATAAACATGGCCAAACAATTCTTCATATTGCAGTAAAAAATAATAATAGAGAACAAGCAAAGTTTCTGCTTTCAAATGATGCTGATGTTAATATAAAAGATAAAGACGAGAAAACAGTACTACATATTTCAGTAAAAAATAACAATAAAGAAATGACAGAATTTCTTCTTTCATTTGATTTAGATATCAATGCTAAAGATAAAAATGGCCAAACAGCCCTTCATTTATCAGTAAAAAATAAAAATAAAGAAATATCAAAACTCCTTATTTCACATGATTCTGATGTTAATGCAAAAAATAAAAATGGTCAAACTGCTCTTCATTATGCGGTCAAAAATAAAAATAAAGAAATAATAGAGCTACTTCTTTCACATGGAGCTAATGTTAATGCTAAAGATAATGTTTGTGAAGATACACCACTCCATTTTGCAGCGAGATATAATAAAAAGATAGAAATAATAAAAATTCTACTTTCACATGATGCTCTTATTAATAAAACAAATAGGAAATACCAAACAGCATTACATTATGCAGCAAAATATAAGCATAGAAAAATTTTAATGCTGCTTATTAGTAATGGAGCATACATCAATTTACCCAATAAACGCTATGAGAAAACTGCTCTTCATTATGCCGCAAAATATAATGATATCGAAACTGCAAAAATTCTCCTTTCACATGGTTCAAATATCAGAAAGCAAGATGCAAAAGGATACATTCCGCTTCATTATGCTGCATCATGTAATAGTATCAAAACTACTGAACTTCTTATTAAGCATAAATCTAATGTCAATGCAAGAGATTTTAGCGAATGCACTGCGCTACATTATGCAGCATGGTGTAATTGTCCAGAAACTGCCAAATTTCTTATTTTGCATGGTGCAGATGTAAATTCAATGAATAAATATGGAAAAACTCCCCTTCATTATTCAGCAAAAAATAATTGGATAGAGATTGCAAGGATTCTAATTTCACATGGGGCTAATATAAATTTAAAAGATAATGATGGGAAAACTCCTCTTCATTATGCCGTAAGATTTATTCCACAAGATACAGCAAAATTTCTGATATTCCATGGTGCAGATAAAGATTCCAAAGATAATAACGGGATGACACCTGTCCAATATTCTGTATTACCTATATAATCTCATAAAAGTTTTGTTTATCTAGTATATTAAGTTCATATTTTTTTAAGGAAGGAGATATCAATTTCGCAATTCTGAATATAAATAGATTTAGGGTTTAACAAAGTGGCACGATGTTACAAAATTTCCCCTTTTTGCCCTTTGTTCATTCAATTTTACGCCCGGAGCTGGCACGAGTTTCGAGAATTCGTGCCAGTTTGTTAAATCTATTATAGATTTAAATTTATCTAGCCCTACTCTTTTTGCACAGCAGTTTAGTAATGAAAAATTGAAATACAAATACAAATAATATTTCCATTGTTTCTATGAGAACACTTGAAATATGATATAAAATTCACTTAACATAACAATAAATATTTACAAACAAAATAAATATACAAAATATAATAAATAAGCTTACGACAAGTATTGTGAAAGTGTTTTCTCGAGTTGCTCAAATTTTGTTGATAGTTCATTATGCAATGGCATGAAATTTTGGTGCTCTGCTGCATAATTTTTGTGTTTTTCGAGTCCTTCTCTGTTTTTCTCCAAAAAATCTTCGAAAACATTTTTCAGTTTGACTCTGTATTTTAGAATAACTGGATCTTCGTAGTCTTCAGTAGTTGGACTATTTAAGAATACTTCAGCAATTCTCACAACGCCTTCATTAACAGAGATCATTATATTACCTGATAAAAGTGTCTGTAAAGTCTCATATGCTCCAGAATTTATTGTATTCTCTAAATTAATGACTCTTTGATGTAACTGTCGATAAGCTACACGAATCGGAGACATTTTGATGCTTTTCTCACGTACAACAAGCGATCGCATTGAGACTGATGGCATTTTATCAGATGTCGACAAAACAGTTCTTTCCAGCCATTGATTTTCAACAGTTCCTTGTGCATTCCCTGAAATAGTGAATGGCCTTTCGAAAAAGAAATTGTTGACGAAATGGAAACTTTCAAATCCGCTTGAATTCTCACGATCTTTATGATAAGGTTCGATGAAAGTGACACAAAAATAGACTTTTTCTTTGTCATTCTTCATTTCATCAGTTATTTGTCCGATGCTTTGAACAACTTCTATTTTTGTCTTTTCACCAAACTTTTCTTTGCAATAATTCGTGTAATATTTGCAAACATCCAACAAACGGGAAAGTTTCGGGAAATGGACAACAAAGACTAATCCATTTTCATGGCAAAACTTTTTTCCAATGAAAGAAACTCTGAAATAATTTCCAAAATATCTTTTTTCGACATTTTGGAGTTTTTCTATCATCATTTCTTTCTCTTTATTAAAGAAAGAATTGAACAAAAACTGGCACAAAGGAACTACATCATCAATAAAAGATGTTCCGTATTCGTAGTACTTTGATTCCAAGCAAACATCAATTGTTTGTTTGACCAGTTTTTGGAGGAATTCTTTTGTGAAGAAATCAGTGAAAATTCCTGAACAAACTTTTCCAGAAGGAACAATATTTGCAGAAGAAGGACAAACGTTTGCAAAAGGATGATTCGTGTTAAATATATCCTGGATCTTATGTAGATATATCATGTGTTCAACAATATATGCTACAACATATATTTTCGTTTGAATTTCCTCTGAAAACATGTCTTCTTTGTGATAATTTTCACTTAATTTCAACATCAAATCAACAAAAGCGTCTGGAGAATGTTTGATGACTTTGGACTGTTCGTAGAGATCATTCTTCAAGTGCTTGTAATTCAACACTCTCTGATACAATGCTTTTGTCTCGTCTTTGTTTAAATAACTCACGTTTTTCAGATATTTTTGGTCGGCCAAATAAATTGAATAAGTCAAAATACTTCGACTTCTTGAAACTGAGTTATGGAACTTTTTGTCGCCATCATACAAAGAACTGAACAGCTTATATCCATCATTATAAGCTGCACAAAACATAAAAACACGTGAAAAGAAAACAGCTAAATTTGGCTGACACTTTTTGTAAAATTCTTTCATTTCTGTCATTTTTGAAATTATTTGAAAAACCAACTGGAAATTGTTCACAACCAAATTAGGAATTAAATCGAAAATTAATTGCGAAATCAATGATATATTTCCAGGGCTCAAACACTTGTCGTAGAACGTCAATCCTGACAACTGATACCTTTGTTCATCATAAAACATTGATGACAAAACATCTTTGTGGTTAACTTTCGGCCACCACTCTTTAAACATTTCGTCAGTGATGTTTTCAAGGAAGAACATGACAAAAGGACAGTTCTTAATGGGGAAAAGGAATGATAAAGGAGGCATCATTCTCTTCAATATTTCTTTAGTTAATTTGTCAGGAATTTCACTGAAACAAATTAACAATCTCTCGAAAACTCTGAGATCTTTTGATTGGCAAACTAAAGAGAATGTCATAATGGAATAGTCCGTGCACAAAAAGGATTCGCAGATATGTCTCGGAGTCAATAAATTGATGTAAAACAAGTTGGCATCGCTTTTCATTTCAATCAACTTTTGGTAAACTCTGTAAACGATTTCGCTGGCGGCGGAAACGAATCCTAAACCTAGTAAACAGTTAGTAAATCGTGCAATGTGGTCGATTTTCTTCATTTCTGTTAGTTTATCAATAAGATTCAGAACTTCAATCCTGGAATCGGGTTTAATTGTGTCTTTTAGGGCTAATTCAAGGACAAACCATATTGTATAACTCGATTCGGGCATGAAATTGACGAGATTTACCATGGTTTGTTTGAAATCTTGAGGAAGACCAAACTGCATCGCATAAGAATAGCAGATCTTGGTGTTGTGGTCGTTTATTATGTCATCAAGTAAAAAAATTCCTTCAGAAAAGTTGGATTTAAGAGTAAGTTCAGCAACTCTGAGTCTTGGAAAGAGACTTCGCTTCAAATTAGCACCAATTTCGTAAATACTATCGATGTAAACGCGTGGATCATCATAAGGAATAATTATTTTATCAATTTGGTTGAATTGATTGGGATGGCTAACTCTTATGTTGAAAAGTTCTATCTGGATTGTAATATCTATTGATATCTTAGCAGGTAATTCGAAAGTAAAGCGCTCATTAAAAAATACCAAACTTGAACTTCGAAATTTTTGAGTATGAAGCCTTGTAATAGCCGATGTTGTCCTTTCTGATGAATAAGGTGCTGTAAACGCTGGTAGTTTCTTGTTCAATCTCTTGTTGAATAAAGAAATTTTTGCAATTACATTTTCAAAGCTTTTTGTAATGCGTAATTCGTTTAATGTGAATACTATATGATGTCTGAATTGATAGGATGGTGTAGTTTCTTTATATGAAAGTGATTTTGCAATTTTATATCCTGCAATTTCTTTAGATTTATGCATAAGTTTGGCATTTATAGTTATTTTGAGATTTAGTTGGTTTCTCTTCTCGAATTCGTGCAAATTTTTCATGATTGTTTCTTTATCAGGTTGAGATCCGATTGGAACGGGATTTGGGAAGGTAAACAATCCTTCGGCTGAAAGTATATCTGTTACTCTTGCTATTGTCCAAGCAAAAGTTTCTAAAACAGTATTTTGCATACTCCATAATTCAATGATTTGTTTTTTCGCTGATTTTAATGTAGATTCGTTAGCCTTTTGATAATAATTGATAAATGCATCTCCGTGATTGTTGTGAAGTGGATGAGATAATGTTACAACTAAAGCAAGATCTGGATTTGATCTTGGCATTTCGTATGCGATTTTCTGAACGTTCCAGAAATGTTTCTTACTTTGGAACTCTGAGGCGCATGCTTGCGGTATCCAATCTACCATTTCAGTAATTATTTCTTCTCCATCAAATAAATATGTGCGAACAACAATTGGGGATCCTGGAACGAATGTATACTTGATATCTTCAAACTGAGTAGCAAGATATACGGCTTTTTCTAATGTAAAAGGTGAATAATAACGCGAATTTAGAGTTCTTGGTGAGATTGGCGGGTTATTTGTATACTTAACGAAGAAGTACGCAACTTGTTTATTGTAAATATTTGAATTAACTGGCTTTTCTCCATTAATAATATCTTTTACAGTATTAAATTTTGGTTTTCTTGATTTTTTAATCGAAATTTCATAATCATTGTTTTGTGTAGCTGATATTACATCTTTAAAGTATAGATCTATTAGCTCGTTCCCCTTGAAAATTTCTAAATTTACAGGAAAATGTGTAAAATAATCTTTATAAATCGGATTTTTCGAAATCTTTGGCTGAGTCATTGCTGGTAGACACCAACTTTCGTTTAAAGCGGAGACTAAGCACTCTGGTTTCTCCTTTTCAGGCTTCCAGGCTTGTCTCCGTTTCATAACTGAAAAGTTATTTTTTTCTGCGCGCATTACGCGGATAGCAAAAAATCAATGAATAATTAATTACTACGAAATGTTTATTGATTTTCATCCAAAAATTCGATTTATCTTGATATAATTGAATATCGTTTTATAAATTATTCCTTGTAAACTATATAATCCTTTCAATTTTTCTGAAGAAAACGTATGAATTTTTAAAAAGGTTAAAAAATACTTTTATTCCCTAGAAGAAACAACTTACTGAAGGATATCCTTGAGATCATCCTCAATTGAGCCAATTCCCTTGATGCCGAAGTTCTTGACAAGAACGTTAGCAACGTTTGGAGAAAGGAAGCCTGGAAGTGTTGGGCCAACACGGATGTTCTTGAATCCGAGGAAGAGGAGAGCGAGAAGGACGCAGACGGCCTTCTGTTCGTACCAAGCGATATCGAAAGCGAGTGGGAGCTTGTTGACATCGTCAAGGCCAAAGACTTTCTTAAGCTTGAGGGCAATAATAGCAAGGGAGTATGAGTCATTGCACTGGCCAGCATCGATAACACGTGGGATGCCGTTGATTTCGCCAAGGTCGAGCTTGTTGTAGCGGTACTTAGCGCAGCCAGCTGTAAGGATTAATGTGTCCTTTGGAAGTGCCTTAGCAACCTTTGTGTAGTAGTCACGTTCCTTATGGCGGCCATCGCAACCACCCATGCAGACGAATTTCTTGATCTGTCCGTTCTTGACGCCCTCGACAATCTTGTCAGCGACGGCGAGAACCTGATCGTGGGCAAGACCGACTGTGACCTGTCCCTTTTCGAGCTCCTTTGGTGGTGGGCATGTCTTAGCGAGAGCGATGATCTCTGAGAAGTCCTTCTGTCCGTTGACATCCTTGCGGTCTGGGATGTGCTTGAGTTCTGGCCAGCCGACAGCGCCTGTTGTGAAGATGCGGTCCTTGTACTCCTTGCGGACTGGGACAATGCAGTTTGTTGTCATGAGGATTGGGCCGTTGAATGGGCCGAATTCACGATCCTGGCGGAACCATGGGCCACCGTAGTTGCCACGGAGGTGTGGGTACTTCTTGAAGAATGGATAGCCATGAGCTGGAAGCATTTCACCGTGTGTGTAAACATCGACACCGGAATCCTTTGTCTGCTCAAGGAGGTCTTCAAGATCTCTAAGATCGTGACCGGATACAAGGATGCCTGGGCGTGTGCCAACACCAATGTTGACCTTTGTCATCTCTGGCTTGCCGTAGCGAGATGTGTTGGCCTTGTCGAGGAGTTCCATACCCTTGACGCAGTACTTGCCTGTTTCTAATGTGAGGGCGATAAGGTTGTTGATGTCTTCTTCCTTAGAAAGCTTGGCGAGTGTCTTAACTTGCCAGGCGTAGATTTCTGGATCATGGAAACCGATCATAGCAGCATGATCGATGTAAGCGGCCATACCCTTGACGCCGTAAAGAATCATTTCACGAAGTGAAACAACATCTGGATTTGAATGGGAGTTAACACCAAGTGGAGCTGTGATGTTCTTCTTTGTGAGCTTAGACTTGATCTCCTTGCAATAGTCAAGCTGTCTCTTGAGAGCGATATCATCGAAGTTAGCGTTTGTGATGGTCATGAAGAGTGTCTTGTTTAAGAGTTCGCCCATCTCGACGGAAACGGCGCCATCACCGAGAGCGATAGAAATTTCCTTAACGATTTGGACCATTTCATCTTCGATGTTAGCTGTGGAAGCTTGCTTGCCGCAAACACCCTTCTTTGTGCAGCCTGTGTTGTTATTTGTTTCCTGGCATTGGAAGCAGAACATCTTTTCGCCTACACGGAGGTGGGACTTAGAGCGGCCACCGAAGAGGTTTAAGAAATGCGATGCCGGTTGGGAGGAAAGCATTTAAGTGATATGATAATCTTACTTTCAAATCAATTGAATACTTTATAATCCACATTGTTGAATCTAGTTTCATTTATAAAATCCACTTATTATATATTAATGACCCACTTGGGAAAGAAATTTGAAAGGCATATGCAATTTTTCTATAGCCATATCGAACATAATTCAATTTCGAAAGAATTTTTATGGAACAATAATCGATAGAAACATATTTCAAACTAAAATTAAAATAATGTTTATAAAATTTGATTTACATGATTCCCTTCTCAAAAATTTTCCCAAGAGTCAAAATTGCCTAAAAGTTATACAAAAGTAGCTTTTATCATGAGTACTTTTGTTTCAAAAAATGATTTTATTTTTTATTAGAGTTCCTCAAAAAAATACGATTGTCGTTTTTTTCTTAAATAAAGTACAATCGATTACATTAACCTATTATGACATAAATTAGAAAACCTTTTTTTCCATTTTTACGCCAGTAAGGAAAATATGAACTGTAGCAATTTGCGCATTTAAAGTTAAACAATCGAGAGCACAAAATAGAAGTTATTATGGAAATGAATAGGAAGTATTGAAATGGGTTTTTCAATTTTTGCATTTAAAAATTAATTTTTTGTTAGAGATAAGAGCTAAAACTCGGTAAACAACTTCTTTATGTCTAGAAAATTCTATCTTGCCTTTTATTTTTTTCTCGCTGTGAAACGTATTCGGTCTTTTTTTTAAAAATTAATTTTTTGTTAGAGATAAGAGCTAAAACTCGGTAAACAACTTCTTTATGTCTAGAAAATTCTATCTTGCCTTTTATTTTTTTCTCGCTGTGAAACGTATTCGGTCTTTTTTTTTAAAAATTAATTTTTTGTTAGAGATAAGAGCTAAAACTTTGCAGACAACTCCCCCATGTCTAGCAAATTTAACATTCGTCTCCCATTTTTATATATTTGGTATAGAATGTTCGAAAATGCGTAATATGGTCATTAATATTAATTGAAAAGAACCTTGAATTAATTCAATCTGATCTCACAAAATATTTTAAATTACAAACTTTGTAGTTTGAATAGATAATTAGTATTAAACTCAAATAACTGGTTTATTTTTGAAAAAAATTATTTGAATTTATTCAATTTTGTGAATTTTCCTTTACAAATCAAGTTTAAATATCTTATTTGCCATCTAATTATAAATACAATGAAACATATTCGAAATTGAAAAGAATGACTTTTTCTGTTCTTTCAATCATTCAATTTGAATTTTGCAATATTGGATTTCTCATTAAATTGCTATTAAAAACAACAAGCAATTTAACTTACATTCAAATTTATTTGTGTTATATTCAATCTTCTCAAAACTTATAATTTTCGGCTATAGCATGATTATATGCTATATAATATAATAAACCTATAATAGTATCATTCTTTCAATTATTTGAAGAGAAAACCGAAAAAATCTATTTTCGGTCTATAACATAATTCAATTCGAATAAGATCATATTAAAGCGTTTGACTAGAAGTATTGTTGCTAAGTTCGGTCAACGATAGGAATTGAGTGGAAATTAATCGTCGAGGAAGTACGATTATGTAAAGTAAAAAATGTTGTGGGATTTTTAATATTGTATATAATTTTATAATAAAATTTTTGTGAGACATTTTAAGAAGCACATATAATTTTTTGAATTTAAAAATTAAAGTAGTGTTGAATGAATTTATTGATTAATTTAATACGGATATTTCTCAAAATTAATCAAAAATAGGTTTTCAGAGAACTTTTGAGATATCTTTTCAAAATGTCTTTTTGAAAATATATAAGTATTATATCAAATTGAAAAAAGGTATTTATCAAAATTCTAAAATTCTTAATAAAAAATAACTTTTCAGAGGATTGTGATTTTGAAAGCATGAGTAATAAGTAAAAAATATCTACGATTTTAATGAGGGAATTGTTCCTTATGAGGCATACATTATAACTATATACCTCATAAGGAACAATTCCTCTTGATAGCTGGGAAACTTTCTCTGAATAACTTATCATTTGGAGAAAGTTTCCCAGCTATCTATTAGAAACTAAAGGCTGTGAGGCACTAATATATAATCAGTGCCTCATAGCCTTAGTTTCTTATTAAAAACGAGAAAACTTGTTCGAAATGATAAACAATTTCGAACAAGTTTTCTCGTTTTAAGGAGGGAATTGTTCCTTATGAGGTATACAGTATGAATATATACCTCATAAGGAACAATTTTTCTTTAAATGGGAGAAACTTTGTCGAATGTTAAACTATTCGGACAAAGTTTCTCCCATTTGTAGTGGAGATGGAAGGCTTTGAGGTATATTATATTAATATGTACCCCAAAGCCTTCCATCTCCACTTGAAAGTTCCAAAACTTTGGGTTAATGTCTTGCAATTAACCCAAAGTTTTGGAACTTTAGTTAGTATACATATCTCGTGTACTGAGGCACTGCGCGCCTCCTTACCCATTATATGTGAATTTGACACTTTACAAAACCGTTAACGTATATTTTACAACACTAACGACTTCACTAACGACTTCACTAACGTTTTCACAAACGACTTCATTAATGTAAAAATAAACGTTCTCACTTACAAAAGTATTGCAACTCCTCCCATTGCTGTGCTTCACATAACAGCTCATAATCTTCTGACTCACTTTCTTCTTCATATAGGTCAAAGTCACTGTCAAAATGAATGTTAGTAAGTTTTGACAAAGCTAATGAAACACGTTTACCGTTTGTATCGTATGCTTGTATAAACTTTCCATTCTTCATTCCTTCATAAACGCTCAAACTAACTTTACCCTTTCTCCCTCGTATCTGATAGAATGTATTTTCACGAGGAACGAAGAACAAATTCTTGAACTCATGACCGTTGTAGTTTGTTATCTCAATAGTTTTCGTCATTTATATAAAAATAAAATAAAAAATAAATGATATCACCACCCTCACATGTATGAAAACATAGCCCAAAAATAAATTTAGGTGAAGTGGTGAAATCTCACCTCTTTTTTCACCTCTTTTTTCACCCGTTGAATTCATTGCTTTATAACTCTCTTCCTTTCTCCAACTCTTCTAACTTCTTCTTAAGTTCAGCAATGTTGTCCTCATGAAGTTTAATCTTTCTCAAAATTCCTTCTTTATCTAATGGTTGCTTTATCTTTCTAAACTGAACTCTACCATCCTTCATAGTATGAATGTAAAAACCTTCTGGAATAGTTCCTGATTTAATGTATTCTACCAAGAACTTTTGTTTCATTGCTTCAGTGACTTTATTTGTCATTTCAATAAAATAAAAATTTTAATATTAAATAAAAATAACGTTATTTTTTCAGTAAGGAAACGCAGGAGTTTTACGATTTATTTGTGGTGTAGGTTCTGGTTTAAATGTTGGAGTCGGTTTTGGAGTTGACTTTTGAACAGGAGTTTGTAATTCCATAGGTTCAGGAGTCATTGAAGGTGTTGTTTGTGAAGGCGTTGGTTTTGACGATGGTGTCGGAGTTTGTTTAACTTCAGCTACTTCAGTATTATTTACAACATTTGCTTTATTTCTTTTCAACATCATTACTGCTCCTGCTGTAACTAGCAAACCTAGTGGGAGACCATATTTTATATAAGGACTTGACCAAATGCTATTTTTGACAGGAGCTGGTGGAACACCTAACCTTGGTGAGACTGCTCTTTGCCATTGTGCAGCTCGTAAGAAATATTCAATAGGTGCTCCATAATCGTTTGGTAAAGTTTGTTTCATAGATGGTGAAGGTTCGCGAGAGCTTGATGAAGAACTCATTTATAAGCTTTAAAAATAAACGTTCATCCTTTATTCCTCACTGTCGTCCGTGGCTAAGTTATAGTCATCTAATCTTATTATGGGTGCCTGACTGTCTTACCTGAATGGCAAAGCAACAATCCCTCATAAATCCAATAAGTGGCTTTGGTACGTTTTCAGTTGCTAGTTCAATAGGTCCTTTAACAGACAATTTGTATGTTATTGGAGCAGTAGATGTTTGACCTTGCTGGAAGCAAAAGTCCACTTCTTTGGAAAACCACATAAGAAATGTGTGTTGTCATAGCTATCCCATTTATGTTCCACACTACCATCATCACCAATGACCTCATAACATCTTCATTAAATCCTATCATATCATTGTTTGTATTGCAAGCGTTCGCAACCATTTCATAAAATACAGGTCCATATGATTTTTCAGGTTCTGCAGGCATATTTCCATAAGCTCCCATGGAAAGCTGAAGATATTTAAACTTAGGGTTCTCAAAATTAACATAATAGTTGTCTTTCTTTCTAAATAGTGCCCAAATACTTTTAACATTAATAGGCCGTATAAGCTGCTGTAAATGTTGCACTTGAACTATCTGTATTCTTTGAGAATGAACCGTCCATAGGAATCCAATCCATAACTTTAACAGGAAAACATAAAGCCTCGTTTGTATAATGTTCTTACAAGTTCTGTATAAATGTTAGGTCTAAAGAGAATGACTTTGGATGAATGAAACATTCATTAAAATCCATCTTTTTTCGAAATAGTTGCTGGTTTACAGTTGTAATAGTAACTGTTCCACTAGCTTCTACTGCCTTCGTTATCATAGTGAATGGTTCATTCCATGGAACAAATTTATTTGTCGGTGGATTTGAATCTGAAGCAAATGCAACTTTAAGAGTTGGATTGAAAGCAATGATATCATTTACAGATTATAGATGTGCATTGTAAGGCGTCGCTACTGAACTTTACTTTAAGCTGAATGTTTCCTGCAAAAGCTGGAATAAATCGAATAGCTTCTAATGGAAGGAATCTTCTAACAGGAATTCTTAAACGAAGCTTAAAATCAAATGATTTTCCTGCTGTAATTGGACCACTAACAATTTGTCCTGTTCTGCATGTTCCCGAATGACTCCATACATCTTCATGTCGAGTCTTTGAGAAAACATCTACTTTCTTTATTTGTTCGGTAGTTGTGAGTTTGAAGTTATATATGCTTCTTCT